TAAAAGTTTCTGCTGAATTATCTTACCATTGTGAGTAGGAAAAAACAAACAAACAAAGCCTATTAGTAATAAACACTATGTATGCAACAGAAATCTATCCTTTACATCAACTATAATTTCAAATCACAGCACTTTCAAGCTCATATTCTCCTTCAGGATCAGCATTCTCACAACAGAACATAGTGAATGGGAAAACAGAATAGATAGAAAAGCAGTTTCAGAAGCAGTGACAGACCTCTGTCTCTGGGCTTTTATTTAACCCTAGCATTGAACTCGGGGAAACTCAATCCACTATCTCTTATGCAAGAGTTTCTGCACAGAAGATCAGGAAATCATATCCCCAAGTTTAGGAACATGAACCTCTGAAAACATACCCTGAAGTTTCTTTTTTTTTTTTTTTTTTTTTTTTTTTTTTTACTTTTTATTGTATCTGCTAGTAAAATGTAATAGGTCATTAAAACTAAACTAATTGAAACTGTAATACAAAACTACTATGCGTGTAAGTAGTAAAGCAATTGTTTTCACTGCTGTGGTGATGAAAAGTAGAAAAGTATCCAGCATCTGTTGTTGACCAGCACTCTCATCAGGATGCAGACATTATTTGTTTTCTTCAAGATTCCTACCGTTTTGCTAGTTTTCACACTACACTTAGGTTACCACAGCCATTGGTACACTTGCCAATACTTCAATAGCTGAGTTATTGTTACTGATCAGTGCTGCACGGTAGTATGCCATAAGCAGCAATCCTTTGCCATGCTTTTAACAGTTTCCTTAACCACAGTGACAGTGCTGTAAAACACGCAGGACAGTGTTAGTCACTGAACAATACTGGTCATACATAAACAAAAGCTGTTGCTCAAGAAAATAAAACAAACCAGAAAAAATACTTGTTCCTATTTTGAATATTAAGTTTAGAAGTACAGGCTGATTAAGTTCTGCATCCTAAACACTGCAAAGAAAGCATTATTTCACTTTAGTAAGATGTTTTGTATCAGCAAAGTACTGTTATGTAGTGCAGAAGCAGCATCAGTGATGTCCTAGAGACAATTTTACTTAGCTTTCAAAGCATTACAAACTAAAAATTAACTACAATTACTAATATAATGCTTAATACATAATAACTTCAAAGGAATTGCTCCAAAAGAACGTGCAAGTAGAAAAATACAAGTTGTTTTAGATGATAGCAGGCAAGTTGCAGACAAACAACTCTCCAACCACTCCACCTCTGTTCCTGTCAACGGTTTACGGGCTGGTTCGGCTCGGTTCCATGACAAGTGGGGCAGAGGGATTTTGCAAAATCTGCACCTCCAGAAACAGGGGACCCCAAAATAATTAAAAACAGCGGCAACGATCTGAGGAGAAACAAATTAATTTACTAAACATATTATCAGAATGCAAGATAACACACTATAATACAATATAATTAAAATTGAAGCTAATAAATCAAATATAATGAGAGAGAGAACGGCCGAAAGGTGGATAGGCCTCACCACAGCGCTGAGGCGAGATGCGCAGTCCAGTTGAGCAGCAGGGAGAAAAGGGAGGAGAGCCGACGAAGAGCAGGCAAAGAAGAGCGCATCAGGTGACCTTGCCAGGAGTTGTATCTTGAGACTCTCTGTGACCGCAAAGTCCCCTGGGGAACGTAGTTCTTCTCTTCCAGGCAGGTACCCAGAGCTTGAGCATTAACAGTTAAACTCCCACTGCCCTACATGATGTTATGATGTGGAATACCGAAAACCAAAAATCACAAAACCATGACAGTTCCTGAGAAAAGAATTACAGTCAGAAATATGACAAAATGTTTTGAGAACTGGGAACACTTCCTACCTCCAGTTCCTCAGCTTGCCTACAGGCTGTTTCCTTCCCTACTCTTATCAAAATGCTCTCCATGGGCTCTTTTAACTCTGCCACGTATTAAATAACCCATTTCCCAGGCATTAGCAACTGCCAGCATTTTTCCCCACAGAGTTTTCTGATAGGTCCCCCATGAAAATGACTTTCAGGAGCTGGACTATTCCTTCAGAACCTGCAGACTGCTCAGGATGTCCTAGTAGTTCTGAATTGTGTGACTTCATTGGCCTTAAGGGAGCCATAATGTAAAAAATATATATATATAATTAGCACATAAGGTAAGCAAAGCATATATTGTATATACCAACAGCATTATAGTGTGTAGTATTTTCATGGGTAATTTGTTCTCCAGAACAGTTCAACTAATAGCATTCTTAATCAGTGAATAACACACACACACAAAAAGAAAAACTTATATACTACCAAGTGGGAAAAAAAAAAAAAAAAAAAGATTTGGCAATTCCCAGAAACATAATCCATCAAAAATTAAAAACAAACAAACAAACCAAAAAGATTTGTGGTTTCAAAGAAGCAGAAGAGGCTTTGAACAGATTATAGGGTACAGCACTTATGTCCAGCTGCTTGTCAGGCTTGCCTTTGACGCTTTCAGAACTGAAGCAAGAGAGGCCTGTAGCAGACAAAGAACTTAAGCATTGGTGCTCTTCAACAACAGCACTGAGCTTCAGACTTTGACTTGCATCTTAGAAGTGTTTCTCATTCCAAGGATATCTTGAAGCGTTTTAGGAAAAAGGCAGGGAAAGAATGAGCTACAGGCACTGACAAACACAGATAACAATAAAAATACAGTAAGATAAGAATCAATTCTGAGTAAATACCCTCATTGAGGCCAGAAAAGATGTACAGTAGGGTCATCCAACATGTTTTTAACAGATTTTAATTGTAAATGATGCTCTCAGATATCACAAGAAAGATACAGAATAAATTAAACAGATTACACCGATCTTTGCTAACCCTTTTAAACCCATGCATGTCTATATAGTAATAAAATGGCTTGCCTACTCTGACCAGGAATGTTTTATCAGAACTTGAAGTCTCATGATCTAGAGAAGGGCCAGAAAGATGCTCTCCTATGAAGAATGGTTGAAAGAGCTGGGCTTGTGCATCTTGGAGAAGGAAAGGCTCAAGGAAGTTCTCATTGCAGCCTTCCACTGCTTGATGGGAGCTTTAAAAACAGGAAGGGGACAGACTTCTTTCCCCCACACAGGCAGACGGTGACAGAACAAAGGAAAATGGCTGTAAATGAAAAGAGAGAATGTGTAAGTTAGATATTAGGAGGAAATTCTTTACTCGGTGTGTTGAGGCATTGCAACAGGTTGCCCAGAGAAGCTGCGGATTCAAAGAATCATAGAATGGCTTTGGTTGGAAGGGACCCCAAGGATCATCAAGTTCCAAACATTTTGACATCCAAAGCTAGACATAAGATTTTTTAAACCATTAATGATCTAACTACAAAAGGCTTGGGAACATTACTGCCTCTTGATTACATCCCAAGTTACACTTTTTTTTCTCAGTATTATCTCAGAGGAAGATGCTTACTAACAAAATGCATAAAAAGAAGGGGAGCTTTTATCTTCAGTTACATAACCATTTGTTATAGAGAAGAAAGTACAACTCTTCTTGGAGATGCACAGGAAATCAAAGGCAATGAGCACAAGTTGCAAAATGGAAAACATGCAAAAGTTGTCATTATATAACTATTTGAGTATTGAAAAAGCTATCCACATCCTGTTGACAGAATCTTCATCTACAGAGTTATTCAAAACTCAGCCCTGTGCAAACTGGTCTAGCTTCAGTGACAGCCCTGCTTTGGGCAAGATGTTAGATTACATGACCACTAGTTTCTTCCAGGAAACTGCAGGACTGTAAACAGTTCAAAAGAAAAATCCCCACCAATGGATGAGACAACACTACATCTTAAGGGGTAACTTCTCAAACATTATCTTTCACTTGACTCAACCATACGCCCTCAGACTCCCAGAACAATCCTTCTTGCCTGTAATATGACCAATTTCCACTCTGTGATGATGACACTTCAACAGGATGCAGGGAACCCTCTTAGCAATAATAGACTGAGAACCATGTCTTGATTCAAATACTTCTCATTCTGAACTAAACCAAAGAATTTTGATTTTCATCCACTATTCAGACATAGGATCAGGTCAGTGGGAAAGCTTCCTATTTTCTAAACAATGCCTTAGAAAGGACAAGAAAGGAACAACTAAATTCTGTGAAAGTTCACAGATTAGATCTTAAAATCCAGCAGTACTCAGTGGTGTTAAAATACTCCTACTGTTAAGGAGGAAAGTAGGTACCTACAACACATTTGCATACTTTTGGGGTTAAGTGGCAAGCAAACAATATTTGTTAGTCTGCACTGAATCCCAGAGGTGACATGAAAAAGCCAAGCTTTTGTAGGCATGCAACAGCATTCAGGTCTTACTAAACATGACTTTCCTCTGAAACTTTGCCTGGATTGCATGAAACCTTTTTTAGGACTACTCTCTGTGCACAATTATTGCTAGAAATTCCACACAGAATTAGAACCAAAGTAATAGAAAGAAGTTCCCCTTCAGCAACATGCAAGTGAAAAGTGTAGGAAATGGGGCTGGCTAATGTTGTACTTGCACAGCATCTTGCAGTGTGAGGACTGGATTACAGAAAGCCATGACAATTATGAAGGAGGCATTCTCACTTCTGGTTGCAAAAAAAGATGTGGGCATGCAAGTTCACATTCAGCAATCAAGAGAAACAAAACATGGCGAAAATACAGCAGAAATGCAGCAACTGCGAGAAATAGATTCCAAGCCAGATACTTGTCTTATCAGTCTTAGAGCTCTCATAGAAACTCAACTGTAATTTAAGCACAATTTTCCCTTCATTGAAGGAGTCAGTTCAACTGTGCTGCATAGATCAAAAGCTCCAGGCCCAGATGAACTGACAGACTGGCAGTTGCACACTTCACAATTTGAAAGTAACTGGCCCAGATATTTTACTGCTGATTTTATGATTGATTAATGCTTTTGATGTCAATAAAAGCTTTTATTTATGAACTCTGCACCAAATAATTTGTTCTTATACAGCTTCATCCAAACTTAATGCTATCAAAAACGAAGTTTCAATCCATTTCGCTAATTAGTGTAAGAATTCCATATATCAGATTCAAGTTGCTTCCAGTCTTATCCCATTAGTACTTTCAGGCTCAATTCTTGGAAAAACTCCAGGTGATGACAATAGATAAAGGAGAAAAAAGGAAAAAAACATGTAAGTTTCATAGTACTGTCTTACAACATTCTCAGTAGGCTTAGCTGATGTTTTTTTCCATGCTTTCTGGGAACATAAACACTGTTTCTGAAAATTTTGTACTGGAAAGAGGGCAAAATCCTTAGCTACTAACAAGTAACACAGTATGAAGTGAAGTTAAAGAGATGACCTCTAAACTGTCAATTTACGTTGACTGAGAATACAGTAAGAATGAAAAGGATACCCTGCTTTAAAACATACCTGCACTCCAGCCAAATACTGTTTACAACTATTGACCAGCTGAAAAGTCATATCACAGGGATATCCTCTCCTTACAGAAAACAGAAAGACAGAACAGGAGAATGAAACTATGAAGCTAATAAGCATTCTTGTTTCTCCTAAGACTGCATCTCATTTGCTTTTAAACATTATGGACTGGATCTTGTTAAGAATTTATCCTTTACATTACCAAACAGAAACAATCGAGAGAAGACTGAGGCTAAGTTTTTAATTAACACTTAAACAGCTGCCAAACAGTAAACAGAACATCCAATACGATTAATCACTTAAATAAGTAAATGGAATTTTCTGAATAGGTAGTGTCCATCTACCATGAAGACAAACCAAGAGCAAATAAAGCAGCAAGGAGCGATCTCTTCACATAAATACATCTACTATCAATCTCTGAAAAAGTCAGGATTTTCATGAAGCAGCACTCTAAAAAAGAATCCCTTCTTGAAAGATATTATAGGCACTCTGCAGTTTACCTAACTGTCACTTTATGTTTAGTAACAAGTTTTCATGAGATAATACACAGGAAGTGCTTCATATTTTCTCTGTTCTCCTGAGCTGTGAATTGCAAACGCGTTGGACATGTTAGTACCTGGTGGAAAATAATTCCAAGGAAGATGAGCTCTACTCTTCCATTTGGTTTCCATTCTGGTCACATCGAATTCTAAGGGAAGTTCTTCCTATTAAACATGAGGAGGGAAAAAAAAAGCCTGTTTCCATGACTAATGGAGCAGGGAGATCCATGCCCTGGGAAAAGGGGGAAAAGGGAAAGGGCGGGGAGGTGAGCCTAAAAACAAAACTGCAGCAAAGACCTGAGGAGGAAAGCCAATTTACTAAATATAATATCAGAATGCAAGATAGCACAATATAATAAAATATAATTACAACTGAAACTAATAAATCATAATAAATATCACTAATAAGTAAAATGAGAGAGAGTGTGTCCAAAAACCAAAGGCCTTACTCTAATGCTGAAGGTGAGCCATGTAGGGAGAACACACACTACTGAAATGAGCAGAAAAGGAAAAGGGGCATCTCGTGACCTGCAGACAGGTTTTATCTTTCTCTCTGAGGGGAAAATGGAAACGCAAGATCCTACAGGATATGCAGTTCCTCTTCCCTTCTGAGACAGCTATACCCAGAACTATCAATGATCCACGGAACTGGAACATTAACTCTTTAACTCCCAGTGCACTACATAATGTTATGATGTGGAATACCGATAACAAAAAATCATAAAACCATGACAGCCTTTTAATCAAGGAGCACTGTTGTCTATTAATGCCTTTCTGAAGTACTGTCCAGATTCCACCTGGTAGCTTATACGATGTCTCTTCCATCATCATGTATAATCATGTAGGCTTTTTCATCAACACCAGAAGAACACTGCACACCTATGCAGGTTATTGCTATGAGGATAATCAGTGCAACTACTGCTAGAAATAGCTGCTTTAGCCTCCTATATGAGCCATTATTGTATCTAAAGCCATTCTACTTTGAAAGACCACTCCTTTCAATGAGTTTACCTTCCGGTTCAAGAGATAAAGAGCTCCAACTGCTGAATTTGCTATTACCTAAATTTCTGCTGAAATATTCACTCTAGCCCATTCCAGCTGTGCTACACCTAAGGAGGTAATCAAAGCTCTAGCAGAACTATGGTATCAGTCTTATATCTAATCAGGGAATTAGAGACAGAACATTTATAAAACTTCCTCCAAACACCTCATGCAATGCCAGTCATGCTATTGGTAAGAAACGTTTGTAACGGAGGAGCCAGATAACCCGTAGCACAATCCCCTGTCCAATTGCATTGGTCACTGTTTCCAGGCTCTTGAATCTTTACACAACCATCAATACCCATCTGGTAAGTCATGTTTATTGCTTGTGTCACCTGGGTAGTGCTCCTGCTGTACAGGTAGTCTGCCCATCTTCATTCCTTTTGTATAATTTGTTGGCTGATTTCCCTCGGCCACTCTACCTTCAACCACAGTTACCTCAGTCCAGTTTTGTTAAGCTGTCCTAACCATGTTCCTGAGGTATTACAGCGTTGAAGAGTTTACCAAAATCATCCTAAAAGATATTAGTTCTAGGGAGGAATTTCCTGTTTTACACTGGTACAAGGTATCGAGCATCTCAGATGGATTCACCTCCATCCAGTTATTCACAGGGACTCCAAGGAGTGGAGAATTGAAATTGTTGACTTGACCACATACCCAACAATTACTGATATTGGTATTCTTTGCAATGTTTTTCACAAGAGACACATAAGCTTTTGTGTCAAAAGCCACGCTTCTCAAATTTACATTTCCAACAAATACAAGAGCCCATATTGCTGCCTTTGGATCTGCAGTTTTAAAGGCCCAGTTGTTTTTCCCCTAGCCTTATTCTAACCAGTGGATCCGCGAGGGTAGACTCCCCAGGCCCGCATCACTCCTCGTTATCAGGGGCTTGCAGTTGAGCCCGTCCTCCCTTCCTTCCCTGCCTGGTTCTTCCAGTGTCCTCGCTGTCGATAGATGGCGCTCTGGTCCTTCTCTAGAAGCCTCCTCTGTCCAAGCCCTCATTTCCCTTGTTTTTTGCAAAGCCCCCACCAGCATCTTTTTCTCTTTTCTCCTTTCTTTCTCCTCCCTATTACTATACATCCTCCACGCTTCATCTAGCAAATTTTTCAAATTCCAGCTCTCTAATAATTTCAATTTCTGCAGCTTTCATCAGATGTCATTTGCAGCCTGGCTGATGAACAAGGAAATTAGTTGTTGTATCCCTATTTCTGACTCTGGGTCTGAAGGATAATGCCTTCTCATGGTATCTCGCAATTTGTCCAAAAACTCAGATGGGGATTCCTGTGGACCTCATCTTATTGCATACAGGGCTGACCAGTTGATCATTTTCAGCATGGTCCTTTCCATTCCCTTCACAATCTATTCCTTATAAGCTACCAAAAGATCTCATCCAGCAGCTTGATTAAGATCCCAATGTGGGTCCTGCAAGGGGAAAAATGACCCTTAATATCCTGCCCTTTTTTCCTTCACTGTCACTGGTCAAATCCTGTGCTGGAAAAATTAACTGTTTCTCTGTTTCTGCCATATCATCTAATAACAATTGGATGTCAGCCCAGTTGGGATTATGTTGCTTAATCAAAAACTGAAAGCAGTGGGTTACGTTAACAGTATCATCTTGGTATGTTTTTGCCACTCCTTTCCATGTTTCCAGGTCAAAGGAGGAAAACGGTACTTTGGTTACAATGGGGGTTCCCCTCTGCTCCCACTGCTTCCCACAATGGAGCCTGAGTTACCTTTCAATGACCCCTAGTTCATGCAGACATTGGACTTCAGGAGGGGTACCCATCTCTTGGCCACTATCCTCATCCTTCTGTTTAACTCTCACTGGAGGTTTATAATGTCCTGGCGATTCCTCAGGGATCCTCATTTTCTCTAATTTTGTACACCTTTGTCCTATACTGCACACAGAGCAATATCACTTGAGCTGGTCAAACCCTTCTCTTTCATGTTCCTTTTCCAGGGCTAATATTATAGGGCCCTGGGGAGGTCCCAGCTCACAGTCCTGTTGCCATTCGGGGTGGTTTTTAAGGGTAAAGAACATATCTGCATACTCCATTTCATCCCACTTACCTTCCCTTCTCAGGAGTAACATTAATTGCAAAAGGGTGCTATAATTCAGAGTGCCATTAACAGGCCATTTCTCCCTGCTCTCTAATTTCTACAGGGACACTGATTACAGTATTTAATGAGTGTCTTTTTGCTCACTGTGCCCCCCTGTTTCCCCAGCTGTGTCTCAGCAAACATCCCAAAGGGGTTTTATCACACTGAAAACACTGAAGTATGCCTAAGGTTTCCCCAGCTGTAGAGACCACTCCTTACAGTTTGTGCACACACACAAACAAAAAAAGTCTGAGGAGTCCAAAGTCCCCAGCTGCTGACAATTTAAACACTTAACTAACATATTTCAGTTTCACCTCCCCCCAAGGCTTTCAGTGCTTACACTGGGATATTTGGCTTCCTAGAACTCTGTGGGGGGTGTTCTCGTGCCAGCATCCATCTGTCTCAGCAGATCACAAGCTCTAACATCTCAAACTCACTTTTTGTTCTTAACCCTTTCTGGTCCTGTTACTTCACTTATGTTCCTGGTTTCTTCCTCAGTATTCCCCCTGGTTCACCAGCAACATCTTTCCAGTGAGCCAAAATACAATCCAGAGGATGTTTTCAGGACCTTTGTCCTATAATAAATATAGGACCCTTGTCCTATAATAACTTTTAATATTCCAGCCAACCTTAAATATTGGACAAGAGAGAACTGCAGTAGGAATAGGTTCAGATTCACTTTCCACTAGGGAAAAAAAAAAAAAAAGTAATTTCACAATCTAAATTTCAAATCTATAAATGATATTTTAGTATTAAATAGGTTCTTTTAGTTGTTTCCCTCAGAAATAGTTAAGAAGTCTAATAGAAGAATGAAGCAATTCTGAACTTATCAAACGCTTGCAAAATACAACAGGTACAAGGAAAGGAAGTTATCTTCATTCTGTAACAATGAATTTCAGGTCAGCCTATGCATCCTAAGAATGGAGATGTGTTGTTACAGTGTTTCTCATCACTAATTCCAAGGACAAACACATCAGTTACCTAATTTTGTGCAGGGCAAGCAGCATTCAAATCTAAGATGAAACAAGAATGCAGAACCACAAATGAAAAAAAATAAACTGATGAGTGCACTTCCAGGGCTCTTGCTTCAGAGTTCAGATGATGTCAAGTCAGAATTCAGAACCAAACTCCTGTAGGTGGCGTTAAGGTCGATTCGTTAGTCGAGAAAGCTGACATAGCAGAGCATTGCTCAGCAGTTACTACAGCAGAAATGCAGCTCCTGCTTACAAAAGATAACGCGATAAGGGGAGCTCAAATGCAACGTCCTTTTAAGGTGAAAACTAAGCTTATTATTTCTGCAATGCAAACAGTTCTTCCTGGACAGCTTCAGCTAAATACTACTGAATAAAACACTTCTTACAAATAAAACTCACTGCATGTTAATCATCTAGAACATGCGGTCATGCTCACCTAAAGATGTCACTCAAAGCACAGGTAACCTCTGTTATTCAGTTACCATTTACAGCAAAAAGGAACCTTCAATAAAACCTACAGTCAGAAGCTGAGCATAATGTGATGAAAATACAACATACTCTGGGACTTTAGCAGAGTTCTGACTTCAAGCAATACGCACAGCCAAAGACTTCTATCCACCACTAATCTGCCCCATCTTTTCAAGCACTGATTCATTATCTGTGGTGCAGATGGTATTGAAAAGTTCTGTTTTCATCAGCTTTACTTAAATGAACTGCATTATACCTAAAAAAAAAAAAAAAAAAAAAAAAAGAAAGAAAAAAAGCCACATAACTGCAACAGGCAAAATCCCGCTCAGTTTTATGCAATACAAGCTCTCAAACTATGCAACACATCAAAAGAGGAAAACAGATCAACAGCGAGAGAGGATCACTGCAATGTGTTTTAACTGTGGATAATAATGTAGTCAAGACACTTAGAAAGTGGGGATTTAGATATCCACTTCTTATTCAAATTCCACCGTGCTCAACGCTGAAATAATTCAATTTCAATAAACTGAAATTTATTTTTCAAAATCACGCCTTACATCCCTGAACAGTTCAGGATATGGATTTTGCAAAATTGGTAACAGCGACACCAGTATCAACTTTGTATCTACGCAGGCCTTTGTATCTATACTTCCCTAGAACTATACAGATACATTAACCAAATTTCAACCTAATAATACCTTGGGATAGACTGCCCTCAAGAGGCTGAAATGAGATATCTTCATGGGATGTCATACGTGGACAATATACTCAGCAAAAGCTGTTCCTCCCTACATCTCCTATTTACAAGCTGCAATAGCTAAAAAAAAAACCACCATCACCAACATTACATGTCCTGTTAGAAGCTTTTGCTGATGATAATCCATTGCAATATATGCCTATAAATCAGGAAAAGCCAGACACAGACAGACACAGTTACAAACACATTTCTGAAGAGAGAAGTGGAAATAAGAATTCACTGATTGAGCTAGGGGAAAAAAAAAAAAAAAAAAAACAACTAGTCCATTATCTTCCCTAAAGCAGAGAAGAAATACAAAGTAATTAACATGCTAGGCCTGCAATGCCCTCCAGAGCTCAACTAAAAGAGAGAACATGCAAATCACACACAAAATGTAAACTTAATCAAGTGTAAAGTCAATAGAAGAGCAGTTTTATAAAGGAATAAATACTGCAATGCACAACCCTCCTTCAGCAAGGATATCTATCCTTTCTGAAACAGTAACCTAGCTCAAAGGAAAATCACAGAGCAGGAATTATGGGTGAGTCAGAAAGGAGGTTGCAGTTAAAGAGGACTTCATGGCAACTTAAATGACAGCTACAAAAGCAGCCACCCTCAAAACATGTCTCAGAGGTCTCTTTAGAAATTCTGGGAGGTGGTGACAGGCCATGCAGGTATCAGTGACACAAAGGTGTCACTGGGGCAGAAGAAAAGACCTGGAATAAAACACAGGATAAGTTGAATGCGAGCTCTGGATAGCAGCCTGCTTTAAAACACTCCCAAAAATCAGATGCTGGGCAAAGTTGCAATACATGCCTGAAAAAAGAAATCTGGAGGAATACTGCAGAAACTGTTGGAACAGTGAGAATTTCTATAAGAGTTCATTCTAAACCAACAAGGAAGCAGAATACTGGTACTTAAGCAATAAATGGGGTCAATTTTGGTGGTAGGTGGACAGTTGGACTAGATGATGTTAGAGATCTTTTCCAACCTTAGTGATTCCATGAAAAGATTATAAAGAGTTTTAAGAAATATAGCAGGTGAAAAAATTCCACATGAATCAGAGTACAAATCATTCAATTCCACTAGGAATGGAATCAGAGAAACTTTGTATTACTAGTAGGAGAGCAAGCTGAAGTTTTCCAAATTCAAATGAGAAATCATGCTAAGTCAGTCAAGCACACTGTCCTATTTAAGAACTGCTCACACAAAAGAAAAGCCAAAATATTTTTATACAATTTGGCATAAATGCTAGATGCCCAAAATGGGAAATTTGAATGTCTGTTCTAGACATTCAATAGACAGTTCTTACCTACCCTACACATTCACTAGTTCCACTGTCTGAAACAGCACACCAGGCCAGACAGAAACTTAGCCTGACCAATACAAGTACTGCTTTTCAGAGTAGCCGTACACAGTAAACTATGAAATGGATTCTTGTTTTCATATGGTCTTCAGTTCTGATTTCCAGGTTTGAAGAGAAAAAACGTGTTTTAAAAAGGCTACCAACACTTCAGTCAAATACTGTATTTAAAAACAACAGAACAATTGGGATGCTTTTAGAAAATTATTAAGCAGCACACTGAGATTCTTCTAGAGCTATTAATCCAGATTTTAATCACACACTGAAAATGCTATTGTTATTAACTTATTTAACATTTCCTTTATTAAACAAAACAACAGATAGTAATAATAATTAGGGCCAAAACTCACTAACAGGAAATTAATTTAAGTCTCTTATGTTTGTTTTCTAGTCAAGATCCATCACTGGTAAAAAATGAAGGGCAGGTATGGGCAGCAGTCAAGTTACCAACATATGACTGATGGCTTGACTAGTAAAAATAGGAATACCAGCTGCCCTTCACCTTCAGTGCTGTCTGAAGAAATTCAACTATTCTCTGGCCAGTCTCTCCTATCAAAGAGAAAAACAATTAGCAGTTAGATTTTTGGAACAGACACATACAAAACACAGCTTTTCACAGCAAGTAACACCACCTCTCATCAGAGGTATCAGTAAGATAAGGCCTGCAAAAAGGTCAACGTTTACTGATATTTTGCATTCCAAAAGCAACACAAACAATTGCAAAACTCCCTGAAAACACAACCATTCCTTCTATTATTTCTTAGCACATACCTGTGAGAAGCTTGAAAATGCACTACCTTCTGGCACAAAGACAAAACTTTCCAGCCACACAAAAGAAGAAAATCTCAGACTTTGAAGACTCAAAGTTATCATCAGTGAGATCTCTTCTTTCTGTACTTCAGTTTGTGCCAAGATGGAAAGAAATTCCAAAAGCTGAATCAACATCTGGATCATGATGCAAAGAACACTGGAGCTAAGACAAAATCCTAAACCACATTTGCAGTTTTCTTCAGAGAAGATAAAAACATCAAATACCAAAAATTACTTGATCTCAATAGAAAAGCCTGAGGTCAACCTCTTGGTAATTTTTCAGTAAGAGAAGAACATCCAAGATCATTTACAGTTGAATAATTACCTTGCTTCAAAAGCTGCTCTGAGTAAAATAAATGACTATTTTATTGACTATATATACATATTAAAGAGCGTCAACATAACACAGTTGGACTGAGCTGAAGAAGACACACAACAGCACTTTGCACTTCAAAAGGAATACTTGTCTTCTCAGCATGCACTGAATCTGTGAAAAGACTTCCATGCAGCAAGGCCTGCAACCATACCATTCAACAGTGACCAGTGTCTGTGCAGCTGGAACTCAGAAAATTACAGAATTAGCAACTCTACTGACCAATAAATGGTCCTTCAATCTAATCAAGTGCTAATGAATTAAATAATCACTGTACATACATTTAAGGATGGAACTGCACAGTTTTTGTTTTCATAAAAATATACTGCATATAATTACACCTTGTAAAGTCAATTCAGGAATGCTGGAGACCAAGAAGCTTCTACCTTTGTAGTTCCTGCTATAAACAAAAAAACAAAGGAAACTCTTTGCCACTTTGTAGGGACTGACTGATAAGAATTACAAAATCATATGGTTCACAATCTTCAACATACATGAAAAATTAGATGCAATCATAACTGACAGCAAATAAACATTTTATTCACCTTTGTGTAACACAATAATTCAGATTAAAATCTCTACTCCGTTTCCAAGCTGGAAAACGTGACTTGATAAAAACAGTGCTTTAAAAATCCATCAGGAAGTTATTTATAATTATCACCATACCAAAGGCAGACCTTTTTGGTTTTTAGAATTGTTACATATGCAAACTCCATACCAACCAAATGGACTCTTTCAGGTAGCTAAACAAACTTGTTGGACCTTACTGCAACAAATTAGTCATCTGATTAAAGAATATCAAGTCAATTACATACATGAATGTTAGACTAATTTCCCCCTCCTTAATTAGCATGTATATATTACCATCTTGACATTTAAGCAGGTATTTATTCAAGGTAATATCTAAATCAAAAGCTGCAAGCCGCCATCTACAATTAGAGTACTCCCTGTAACATATGGGGACTCTAGAAGAAATAAAACAGCTTGTGCAACTTCATGAGGGTCTCCAAATCTTCCTAGGGGAATTGCTTTCTTCAGCTCGTCTTCTTTCAAATGAGCAGTCATCTCTGTGTGAATAAAGCCTAAGAAAGGAAAAACATGAAGAGTAACCTAATTTCCAATTAAATTTTCCCAGTGGAGTTTCCCTTGAAACCTCCAATATGACCATCCTCAGCAACCATTCTCCAAAGTCTTAGAAGTCAGTCTGCATCATTTTGTAGCCAAGAACAAATTTTTTACCTAACCAACATCATAGTTCTGGAGGCACTGATGTAATAGAGATCTGTGTTAAAAAAGGTAACTTTTTTGCACTCAAAAAACATATTATGACTTTTCTGAAAGACAAAAAATCAACATGTCATCAAAACATATACAATAAAAAAACCATGAGTGTGAAATCCCTAACAAGAAACACCCACTGCTTGCAAGTGCTTCCACCGAATTTTTGAGCTTATTCCAGAACTTTCAGAATTTCTATTATAACTCTTACCTGAGGAATATTTCTTTACAATTTTGAAGGACAACACTTCACAACTTCAATTTTCTGAGATTTAATTTTCCCACTGTTGCACTTCCCTTCACAAAAGCTGCAGCTTTAGAAAGAAAGATCTGATCTACTGTCCATCTGCCACTAAGAAGTCGTCTCAGCTTTACTTTCTGCTGTATAAATCTCCCCTATCAGCTATTCAACTCACTGACCAAGGAAATGTATTTTTCCTGCCTGGTTCATGAGCTGAAGTGGGGAAGACACAGCAGCACAAGGCGAGCAGCAGAGCACACAGGTAACTCAGAGCACAGAATGTCAGAAAAGACATACGAGATTTTTTCTTAAGGGTGGTGGTTTGCCTGAAACAGACTGTCTTGTGAAACCATCCTTATAAACCTTCTTTCCAGACCATCTTTGTTCACTAAAAGGAAAGAAAGGGATGTTTTCAAGACAGCTTCTCGTGGTCTTTAATGTTTCTTTAATAACAAATAAACTATTCTTTACACAAAGCTATCTGCATATAGCTATTTCTAGACCAGGCTGCCCAGAGAGGTTGTGGATGCCCCGTCCCTGGAAGTGTTCAAGGCCAGGTTGGATGGGGCCCTGGGCAGCCTGGTCTAGCATTAAATGAGGAGGTTGGTGGCCCTGCATGTGACAGGGGGGTTGGAGATTCATGATCCTTGAGGTCCCTTCCAACCCTGGCCATTCTGTGATTCTGTGATCTCTAATTATTCCATCTGTAAGGATGGCAGGTTTTGAAGGAGGAATGAAGAAAAAAAGCCATTTTTTATGTAAGTGTGGATAGAAGAACAGGTAGATGCATGCTCCTGAATTTCTCAGCATTCCCATGGAAAAACTACAGTGTTTTGTAAAAGAATATATAATATCTTAAACTATGGAGAAAATAAAACAGAAAGAAACCAAAACCAAACACTTACTTAAAAAGGTTGAAGAAAAAAATAGTAATTTATTTTAAGTACATTCAGAGTACACCAAATATCTAGCAGGCTTGAAGACCACTTACTTATTGCAGTAGTCAGGGATATACAAACTTCCCAAAAACTAACCTGGAGCAACCACGTTGACTCGAATTTGCTTTCTTGCTACTTCTTTAGCAAGAGAACGTGAAAATCCAACTATTCCTGCTTTGCTAGCACTGTATGTGCTTTGACCAGAGTTGCCTTTAAGTCCTACAACACTTCCTAAAATAAAGCAATATTGGAAGAGGTTAGATGCTAATAGCTTTGTTGTCTCAGCTTTAAATGTTTAATAGAAAATGAGATTAAAGGAGTTAAAAGTATATTACTCAATGCACATTACATTTATTGCATTAAGCAAATCCCTCAATTATCTGTGATTTTTATAAGTGCATATCTATGTTGAGGAACATGTATCAGGAAAGTAAAATGGAAAAATACCACTGAAAAAAAAAGGAACTACCACACCAATTTAGTTCTTATAACCAGAAGTTGGTAGATTTAGCTACTGAAAGTCGCTAAGCAACATTCAGAAGTTGCTGAAATTCAATAAAGGAATGAGCACTCAATAAGAAATGCTAAACATAGAAAGAAATATAAAGAAAACAGTCAATAGCAAAAAGCAACATTTCAACACTGCATATGTCAGACCATTCTAGAAAAGTACTTTCATATAATTCCATGGGATTAGACAAGCAATTTACCTATATTAACAATAGCACCTCCTTGATGATGAATCATACTTTTTACAGCAGCTTTGCAAGTCAACATTGTTCCCAAAAGGTTTGTGTGAATCTGGGATACCATATCTTCAGTCTTGGTTCTCAGTAACAAGCCATCCCTGACAAACAGACCAAAAAACACACATGAGCTCACTGCACAACCTCAATGATCACATTTACTCCTAGTTAAACATGATCAATGAGCAGAACATTACACTAACTAATAACTTACCTGTTGATCCCAGCTGCATTAACCAAGTAGTTTATAGGACCTAAATTCCTCTGTATCTCTTCAAAAGCACGTTGGACTTCTTGTTCTCTGGATATATCACAGCTGAGTGCCAAATGGCCAGCTGCATTGAAATAAAGGCACATGATGATAACAGTAGAAAGAAGTCTGTAATTCATAAATCTCAAGAATTTATAGACTCAACTGAAAAATAGAGATGTTGAACTAGTTATAACTTGAGGAATCCATTTCATCTCCAGAGAATTAAATCAGTACAATATTCAAGAACTGTATTAATTCGTTACATGACAACTCTCATCATACTTCTGGCCTTTTGAAGTCAGAACTTCAGCATGATCTGACTGGTCTCTGTTTTAGCTTGGTCAGGAGCCATGGATGACTCAATTCCTACCAACTCCCTGCTGCAACCTTGAACAACTCCTTGAATCTATTCTACCTGCATGATATGAATTGCAACATATTCACTTCTCCCATAGAGTACTGTGAAAACAAAGGTGTAATGAAATAACTTCCCCTCTGCTCCCAATTTCCTCATCTATTTAAACAATACGCTTCATTTAATGACTTACAACTTTCACAAGGCATTTGGCAGTGAAGAAATCATTGCAAGCCAGCAGTATACATACCACCAAGACCGCACGCAGTATTTTGAGCTACTTCAAGATTTCTACCAATAATTGCCAGGTGGCAGCCTTTCCGTGCCAATAATTCTGCAACAGCTTTTCCTATTCCTCGGGATCCTCCAAAAATGGCACAAACCTTGCCCATCCTAAAAAATAATTCACATATTGCAAATAAAGCATGAATTTCAGGCCCAACATTGCAGAGAACAACCACTGTTCTTGTCAATATCACGATCCTTACTTGTCTGCAGTATTTTGTAATACAAGATTACAAGAGTTGTGATTTTTTTAAAAAATTTTATTCATGGAAAAATAAATAGCTGAAGTAAATTAGACACCACTTTAACTATGTCTGAAAAAAAATTATGCATGTAGTCTAGAATTTGAGGAAATATGTGCTTTACGTATCTCAAAACCATAAGGTATCACTCAGCTGTTTATTCAAAACCAACACAGTAGATGAAATTATATTGTTTCTGCACTATTCTAATACTAAATTTAGCCTCGAGGTCTCTCTCCATCCTATGTATCTGTGCTGGACACCCAAACTGCAAAAGCTTCTGGAGCATGACTTGATAACACCATATTTACAGCTGGCTAAAACTAAGTTTCATCACATACTACTATGTTTTACCACTAGCCTTAGAGTTTGTTTGTTTGATTTTCTACATTTGAAGATGGAAAATGCTGTTTGAAATCTGAAATGTCTCAGAAATAGCTAGCTTAGATGTATAGGCAGGTCTGTTAAAACATGCTCCTGCAGAATGAGATTTTAATTTGTAATCTCTACAAATCAATCATCAGTTGCTTAGGGACTTCTTGAGCCAAAGGAAGGATGCAAGGAATAGTAATGAATTTCTTTTCCATACATTTAAATAAATCCTTTTTAACCCAATTATACTTTGCCTTTATAATATCTTGAGGCAATGAGTTTCATTATTTGTGGAAAAGTACTTCCTTTTGTGTTTGAATTGCTTTCTGATTAGAGAACGCTCCTTGTGTCTTCCCCTTTCTGCCCATAACTTCAGAGACTACACTTCAGGATTTTACCATATCCCCTGTATCTTCTTCCAGGTCTACTTAGTGACTCTCAAACACGTGGAAGCCACCCCATATTTTACCAAGGACTGTAGAAATCCTGTCACCCTACCCTTTTCCTTATTTAGTTCTATTATGTCCTTTTTGATGTGTTTTACCTAAAACTGCACATGCACATACACAGAATCAATTCCTATAATTGCGTCATGATTTTAGTCACAGAAGACCAGAAAATGACTGGGTGCTCTGACAGATTTTGGTTACAGAAGACTGAAATCTGCCAGAAGGAGCAGCCCATCCGTTTACAGACCAGAAAGTGATCAAGAAAAGTGCCTGAAATCAATCCATGTGCCCGCTTCCCAGCTGGCACGTTGGATTCCTAGGAGCAGGAAGAAGATAGATGCTTCTATCTCAAGAACACATACAAAAAGATGTGCTGTGCAGAGACAACTTCTTAGTGAGAAAAACAGGTACTACGGCCTCACTAGGAAGGCTAACCCTTCAAATACTCACATTGGGTAACTAGCCTGCAACAAACTAATCGAGAGGTTTTGCACCCAAGAACTGTAGCTCTTACTGACTTAACAGAGGCACAACCATGCTGTATTTTGTTGACATATTCTGTTAGAAGTGAAGTCTCAGTCTACATTTTCCACCACGAGGGATCTATTATGCTCATGAACATGATTTAGCAGAGGGTTGTTAGAGTTAGGGTAGTATTGTTAGGTTGTGGTTGGACTTGTTGATTTATAAGGTCTTTTCTAACCTGAGTGATTCTTTCACAGAATCAACCACACAGACTCTGGGAAGTTCTTGTCTTTTTGTTGCAACAATGTTCTCTTTTCCTCCATGTTCTACCTACTCTCTTATATACACACGAAAACTGGAAACAACACAGGTGGAGAAGAACCTCTGGAAGCCATCTCATCTCATTCCCCAGCCCAAAGCAACACCAGTTTGTGTCTCATCACTCAGAGCCTTGTCCAGGTCAGTCTCTGAAGACGTCTGAAGGACGTAGGAAAAGGCTTTCAGAAGGAACGCTTCACATCCTCGTGCATTCACCAACTATTTACAGGAGGCGTGTTTTGACACACACACAAAAAAAAAAAAACAACACCATATCCTTCGGAGTTGCGACTTGATCCCCAAAGACCAAACTTCCTCCGAGAAACAGCTTCCCCTCGAGGCCAGCACGCAGCCCGCCCCAGCGCCCGCCCCCCCCCCTCACGCCCCCGTGACCCCGCGCAGCTCCGCGCTCACCTCGCGGGGCGGGGCTCCGCACCACGGTTCCGGCGGTCGGGCTCAAGATGGCGCCCACGCTCGAGCGCAGCCCGCCCAGGAGCCGCGGGGGACGCCGGGACGTAGAGCGTCCCACACGCCGCGGGGGCGGCGGCGTGAGAGGCTAAAGGCTGAGGGAGCGCGCTGCTGTCAGCGCTGGTCGCTGCTTATATTCATGAATTATTATATATTCACGTTATAATCGCTTGTACAGCTGCCCTTCCCACACCCCTGCAGAGCCCGAAAGGAGCTTTGCAGAAAAGATCAAATGACGTAGCAGAGAAACGCTCCTCACAGCGTTTCTGCCAGCCTCAGCATTGAGCTGTTTGGGTGACCAAACTACCGTGCTTTTGTTCCTAAGTCATCTTTACTATTGAAGACTGCTTTGCTTTTTTTTTTTTTTTTCCAGACCATCCAAAAGTGGATGGTTTTGCACAATTAGGTGCACTTTTTCAACATACACACGAGTATACGTTCCCCCTTATTTGCCGTGCTTCTGTGAAGCCTTACATCTCAAGCAAAACACGCTCAGAACAAAGTTGTGAGAGGCTCTGGCAAGTCACTGCTGTTTTCAGGCTCTCCTGCCCAAACAGGTTTCCCCACAGCAACCCGATGATTTCACACCTAAGCTGATTTCACACCTGAGCGTGAGGTCTGTGCCGAAGTTCCACCCAGGCATGGAGGAGCTGCATCCCTCCCTTCTGCCCCTCCCAGGGCTGTCATGCAGCACGTTACACATTAAATAAAAACAATCCTCCCCTACCACACCCGGTCTTAAAAGTAGGTATTCAGGAAGCATTGCAGAGATGACATCTCACAGTGCCTCCAGAAATGTCTTGCCTCCCTCGATATATCATCTCCTCAACGAGGAGTGCAGTGCCAGGGAGCACATCAGTCTCCTTCACTTCTCCTTCATAGTCTCAACTTTCTCGTTCTGCCTCATTCCTACTCACGTTTGCTACATATTTATATTTGCTGCAAGATAACATCTATGGCAGTCATGCCAAAAATATATCCTGCAACAACCTCTTTGGGTATCATTCCAATTGCTGATGAAACGAGTCTTTTTGATAAGTATTTCTCGGCAAACACAACTGGGTTTCAGTTCATATGCTTACAGAAAATTGCTGTCAGCATTAGGACTAAAAGCAAAACGTTCTGAACAGCCAACATTTTCATCACGCTGTGATGCTGAGTTATTCCTACCCTGGCATATCACATTAATCACAACTTTAAGCATCAAATCTCCACTCAGGGTATGGATAACTTGGCATTGTTGCCCACTCTGGTCCTGTAATGCAGCAAAATTCATTTCTGCATCTATTCATACTTCCATTTAGTGCACTGTATTTGCTGTGTCTTCAAGTTTGATTTGTTGGGAAAAGGGAAGAAACTGCGATGCTAGAAGATGACAACAAGGAGAAAGGAGCAAAAAGAAGAGGTTAATAAACATGGAAAAAATTTAACTGATGGTTTAGACTGAACTCAGTAAGTGAAATACTTTCATGATTTCTCCTACTATCTACTTAGAAATCTGTAGCATGCATGAATAGGAAGAGACCACAGGCTGTTTGAAGCTGGAAACTGAAGGCATAATGGCATTAAGCTACTTCTTTTATAGCGTCACCTATTTTTCAGGATTGTTCAGTGTAGGATCATGAAAACTTTTGCAAGATTAGCACTAATGAGGCACAGATCTATTGAGCAGAGGAATACCTGGTTTAAGGTGGCACATCTACTTACTGACAGAAAGCAGCAAGTCAGGGGACTATGCAGCCATTTCCCCCATAACTGCAAATAGCTGTGATCCTAACCAGGACTTACACTGGCAGAACTTCAGCTGATGATTTGCCAGCAGTGAGTGTTGAACATGGTCCATAATAAACAGCAACTGTGATAGTGATAGCAACAATCACTCATATCTCACAGACTGCTCACCTCCTTTATCTTCACCAGCATTACAGGAAATGTCAAAGACAATATTCTTTACAGCTGTTACCCATTTTACAGCTTGAAACACATATAGTAATACATGGAAAGCTTTCAAGGAACTCAATTCCTAACATTCAATTTTCTCTATCAGATTGTCCTAAATAAATCTAGTTTCATATCTCATCTCCTCACAGAAATACGTTGTTGTCATTTCATCCTGATCATGCATTTCACTAAGCAGCTGAAGACTTCATCTCCTTGTGAGAGATACAGAAGCCTTTGCCTTTGTAGTTCCTTCCAATGATTGAGCGTTAGAGTAGTAAAGCATAATAATACCCAATCAGCTGGCTTAATGAGGTAGAAAGTAGGTTATTAAAGATGAGAAGAGCTATTTTTAGGTGACTGCTGGCACCATTTTTAGATTTATCTATTATAGTGAGTATTTTCCCTTAAAAACAAAACAAAACAAAAGCAATTAGCATCCTTGGCAAGAATTAATCTATTCCTCACTTTAGACCATAGCAGATGAAGTGACGGCTGTTTATATAAAAAACACATACCTTATTTCAACAGTTTTAATCACTTCTCATAGGTATGGATTTTCATGAGCACAGTTCATTACAAAATTCTCCTAGAAGTCCAACATGTTCTTCTAGCTTCCAGTGACCACCCCTGCCCATCCACAGAATCGACGTGTGGCTTACAGAAACCTGTAGATGGCACAAACTACTGTCATGAAATCCCAGAAGGAAATGTTATGAACTACATACACATAAAGTTAATCATTTTATAGAAAATATTAACTGCAAAGGGGGAAAAAAAAAAAAAAAAGCAACTTAGAAGATGAGTCTAGAAGATACGTCTTTACCACACTATGATTATTGCTGGCTGTGAAAACGTGATGCAAGTTGATGCACCTGCAGGGTGCTACAGAAATCTGAATTATTTTTCCAGAAGAGAACAATTTCAGTTATGTATTTTAAGTACTTTTTAGTTTTTATCCTTGCTTGCCTAAACTTTCTCCATAAGGTTTTGTACTGGTTTTATTATACTGAGCATGCAGAATATAGTGTATTCCACAAAATACAGCGATAAGATTTGTGGATAAGCTCTCTGCCAGAGCTCAACTCTCCTCATCATCCAGTTTCTCAACATCATTTTCTTTATTACTGAACACAGGAAATGTTTCCCCCTGCCCATCCTATTTCTTTCAACAGACACAACATTGAAATACCACTGCATGAACAGAGTAAATTTTTTTTTTTTTAAAGAACTACATGTTAGCAAAAAGAAGAGTTCTGAAGAGCACTGAAAATTACACAGAAAAAAAAAAAAATCATGAATAACGTGCATCTTCAGGAAAAAAGGGGAAAAAAGAAAAAGAGTACATTTGTCTGTGTTTATTTTCTTAAGAAAACTTAGAAGTTTACCTTTCACATAATTACTTAGCTGAAATAATGCGTATTCTGAGAAAAATCAAGCTAGTGTTTCTCTAACTGTCTCAGTTTAGCTGCTATGTCAGAGAAGATGCATAAGCAATGACCAGATATTTATGAGAGAACCCTGCTATCTCCCAGAACCAGATAGCTGGCTTCCCCTCCCGGCTTACTCTCTGCAACAAGACTTTTTATGATGTGTCTGCAGCTCCAACCGACCTTAACTGGAACAGTGAAAGTCCATTGCTTTTCTGTCTTTACTTCCCTCTTCCTACTAGGCAGAAGGAAAAAGAACGTTTCCCTTTTTCTTTTTTACAGGAAAATGAAGCAGTTATCTTTATCATCCACAATCTTTTTTTTTCTTTTTACCCCATAATGTTGCCTACAGATTGAAGATTTTCAAGCAAAATTGCCTAAATCGGGATTGACTACCGCTGCACCATACAACTCTGCATCATCCATTTCCACTCAGATCACAATTATTTTAGGCATTCTGTATACAAGCGGGTAACATTTCTCCAGTGTGCAATGTTTACATAGCAGAAGTCATTCCTGTTTACTTTATCAAATCATTATTCAATTTGAGGATGCCTTTCACAAACAATTATTCTGCTCTAATAGCAACAAGTCATACATTTGCTTTGCAGACACCTCACTGAAGTACTCCTGTCAACATCAGTTGTCTGTCATGTGCTCTCAAATGTTTTCAAAAAAATATGGTATGCCATCTGGCTCCTATACGCTCATTAAATCCATTGGAATATGAAGGTTTAAGAAAGCTAACATCACATGATAATCACCACTTACAAATACGATAAAAGCAAGAAAACAAGAAAATATGTTGGTTTTTTTGTTGTTGTTTTTTTTTTTTGTTTTGTTTTTTTAATATTTCAATTTCTTACAACTCTGAATATAAAAACCATTTTAGAGAACAAAGCAGGATAGCAGCTCTGATTCCCAAAGCTTGCGGTCCAATTTTATTTTCCAAGTGAAATGAAGAAGGAAGAATAACTAGCAGAGGAATGAGAAGCAAAAGCTCTTCAGGTTGCTAAGGGGAGGGGTACAATCCAGAGGACATACTACAAGTTTTGTTTCCTTAAGACCTGACAAACCACTTAATGTTTTTCCCCTCTGAGTGTTCTCCCATCTTTAATTGAGGCAAATGGTTGTCAGCTCCCTTACTGTCACAGCCCTGGGTAAAGATCTCAATGTCCAGGGTTGGTTTTTTTTTGTTTGTGTGTTTTGAAGAAGCACTTTTAGGATTTATTGTAGGAATAGAAATGCACTGGAAAAAAACCTGCATCACCAGATATAGGCCTTAAGCCTAAGAGATGAAAAGGCATTTATCTTTGATAAAGAAAGTAACTGATTTTTTTTTTTTTTATAGGAAACAAAAATAAATTCATTAGGGAAGAGTAAAAGAATTTCCAAAAAAATAACTTTGTGTTTTCTGTGATTTTTGAAGTAAGATTTATCCTAAACACTTCTAGACTTCCATTTTCTGGAAGAAACATGTTCTTTAAAAAAAAATAAAAAGCTTTTCTGGTAATGTGCATCTAGATTGAACTGCTGTTAAATATGTATAAATAAATGATCTGCTAAATATGCGTTAGACAATTCTATTTGTGACATTTTGGTACACTGCCTGATAAGAATGATGCAAGAAAAAAGAACAAGCTGAGAATCTGCCAGAAACAGCCTGGGGAGTACAGGGAAGCACAGCAGAAAACCAAATGGGCCAAGAAGGGAAAAAATCAGAAAAGCTTCACCCAATACACAGCAGGACTCCACTCTTGAAAAACATGTGGGCACAGTGTGTAGATTTTCCCTGTTTTGAGAGCTGGGTAAGGTTGTGATGACTGACCTTATACAGCCTCATTGCATTTTCCCCAACTCAATGCATGCTTATTTTTAGCAGCAGAACTCTGCACAGTGTTTTTATAACCCATTTTGGCTGCAGCGCTACATCCAGTTGCAACATCCTTCGTATCTCTAACCAACCTAAGCTGCCTATTTTGTTAAGCAGTTGGAGGAGAAAAGACAGACTGAGAAATAAATAAGGCAGTGATCGCCATTATTCAGCTGTAAAAGGAAGCCTTTTGCTGCAAAGCTTCTGTACCTGGACACTCAGAAATTATAACAAAGACAAGTCAGTTAATGGCTGTGGGGGGAGCTCACAGGCAAATGCAATTGCTTCCATGCTCTTGTGCTTTGCCATCTGGAACTTCACAACACAGCAGGAGGTTCCAAAACAAGATTCTTGGAAGTTAATAAATCTGTTATGCTGACAGGAAGGTCATTCTGTTTCTGATAAGACAGTCTGCTCCCTGAGGGATGAGAAAACTCATGTATGTGGAATTAGCATGCGATGTCTGTGCTAGCAAATTTATGTTAAAGAGACACAAAGCATTGCTGGGTTCCTGATGAACATCTCCGGGCAAGGCAGCCATGCAGAGATTCATTTTATGATGAAATGGATATGCTGGGGAGAGCAGGACATAGTTAGGTATTCCACCTGTGGAAATTCATAAAGCAGCATAAATTTGAAGATCTTTACACCAGCTGAGAAATCACAACTGTCACTGATACTAACCATTTCTGTGTATTTTATCATTTCTTCTGTCAAAAATAAAAAACACACAGGATACTATTCTCCCTAACAGTATCTGCATCCCAACTGTTTCCAAACTCGGGAATATTACATTCATGGGACTGAAAAACAGAAAACGCCAAGCCCAGTTCAGCCATCTAACTAAAGCTCTCTTACTGCAACATTACTTTTGTACTTCCTATGTCTCTAAATATAATCATTTTGTAAATAAGATATTTTTTCCCCCAGCAGATATATGCATTACACAAAGTATAAACAAGTAGACAAAATAATACCTAAGCAGAACTCTGCATGGATCACAGCTTTACTCTATAGCCCTGTTTCCTGTAATTATTACAATTTATTCTGCTACAGCATGATTCAGTTCTTTCAGAAAAGCACTCACATTAGCACAGAAACGTTGAGGTAAAATAACTAGAGCCATACAAACACTAAAGGCATAGTATTCATCCATGTAGCTTCCTTTTGAGAACAAAGTGTTGCAATGCTACAGGTCCTAATTTCATTTTATAGCATCATTTGAAAGGCAGCTCTTTCTTGCAGATACAGGCTACACGTTTGCAATAATTTCCATACCTTTAGTGCATTATGTAAGCAAAAATCTTTTCGTTAGTAAGGTGCGCAGTCATTCAATTTCTAGGTACAGCAATTTTGTCAGATTATTTCCAACCCTTCCTGCAGCTGATACCAAGCACCGCTACCAGCAGCAGACCCAGAATTACTCTCCCCCTCGCTGACACAATTCCAGTTCTTTGTTAGGTCTTCTTCCCTCTGTGCCCCCTCACTTGTAAGGTGAGGAATCATTTGTCTCAATCTTTCCTTTCCCCAAACCCAATGATCTCCTTTCTAAAAAGTCCAAAAAAAAAAAAAAAGGACTAAAGAAAAGCACATACATCCAGCCCAATGGACATATTGAATGTGACAAGCCATAAACTGCTCCTAAAACACAGAAGATAAAAGCTGTTATAAAATAAGCCAGATTTTGGTTAACCTGAAATTAAGGAGCTTCCCACATTCACTCTAGAAAAAGACCTTCCTCTCCCACTTCTACACGTTCAAATAATCAGCATACACAATATTCAAATTCTCCACAGTAAGCAGTTCCCTCAGGTACCACAGGCATTCTTCCTGCCACCAGAACCAAAGCTGTACACCTATACTATAAATGCCTGAGCCAATGTCTAGCTGAAATCTAGCAATTCATCGTCTTTCCTCCCTAAGAAAGCGTTTGCATTCTTAATTTCTAACTCTGCGCCTACAGGACTTCTCATCACATGCTTCAGCAGTTTTCCAGCACTAGTGATAGAGAAGACTTCACATGACTAACATGGGACACGTATAAACAGAATCAAATTTATCATCAGCATTGCTAAGCTTTCTTGAAACAAGTCTCAATCCATGTGCTGAGCCGCTTGATTACAGCACTGAAGGCCTTCGCTCCAAACTTGCTTCCTGTGGAGACACTCTACACTTAATGTTACATAGCAGATGCAATTGGAGAAGTCTCTGGGTCTGAAAACACCCAGCTGGAGAAGCCTCTGGGATTATTTGCTTAAGTACAGTCCAATACATCATTTAGGTCTCTGAGCAGAGCTCACAAGTACCCAAAATTGCCAATGGAATCAGTGCAGCTTTAGTGTGTACACCAAAGGATTACACCAAACGCAGTCATGGTGACTAATGCATAACGTGGGAGGAAGGGAGAAAGTATTCCGGGCCAATTCAGTGAACCACGACCATTACATCTCAGACAGGAAAACAGAAAAAATTCCCTGAGTTATCCAAAGTGCTGTACTTTCCCAAGAAATCGATTACAGGTTTGAAATATCCATTATGTTTATTTTTGCACGGGTGTATAAATAACATCCATTTGTACATAATGTTGCTAATTTTTTTTTTTTTTTAATTATTCCCTAGAATCAGATGCTTCACACACAACACTATTTCTGGGATGGTCCAAACAGAAAAAAAAATTGATTCAGCAAAACACCTCTACATATATTTAACTTTTAAAAATCATGCTAAATCCATTCCTGTTCTATAAAGTGCTTAATATTTTTGTTTGCTTTTTTGTTCCAATGAATCCAAAGGACTTAATCCTTTATGACAAAAAGACCTAGGAAGTTAAGAAAAAAGCACGTGTGAGAGAGGTGGCTGGGCACAACATCAGGCTACTTTGCAATTAGCCATTAGACATACCAGCTCTAATTACAAAAAAGTAATTTGAAGTTAGAAGCAAGAAATTGCATTTGTGCCTTAGGGACCTCTTTCATATTTGGAATCAGTATTTCTGCATACAATATCTGTTCCCAAAACATTATACTGTGTTACTAAACACAGCACAAAAGATAGCATAAGCCAGCTATAAGCTATTGTAAATTCATCAATAGAGCTTTTAGTTGCAAGAACACTGTTAGTTATTTATTTTACAATGGCTACACACTGGCAACTTTTATGAAGAAACATCAACCAGAAGTGAACTAGAATCCAGTATTTGCCCTTGCAAAAATTACTTCAATTTTCAACTATTTCCTTGAAAACGTTGCTTTTGATTTTAAAACAAAAAAAACATGCAGATAAAATGCAGACTGACCTTCAGAACTTGCACACAGCTAGGAGGAGGATCCAGCTTCTGCCAGTGTTACCTGATGTTAAAGTTCAAAAAACTCAGTACAAGTTCACTAATTTTTCTCTAAATTAATTCTTGTACTTGGCAGAAGATAGCTTTGTTCTGGTGGATTTAGCTATTACTCAAAAACAGGGCTGTAGTGTAATCAACTCACAGCTGTGTGAGCATGCTCTATTACTATCAGCCAAGAGAGTGCAATACTTCACAGTTAAAAGCAAACTTGTTACATAGATCAGCAAAAGTAGGAAGACAGCAGATGGAAAAATTCCCACATCATCCCGTTCATCAGTAATGAGCTCTGGCTGAGTGTACACAACAAATGTTTGCCAACATAAATACACTATGGTGTGAGGACAGACACAACAGACTGATCTTTTTTCACCAGCACAACCTCTGAAAAGATGCAACTGCTCTGGAAGCAGAGAGTTTTCATGGCTTGGTTTAGCCATCCGAGGATGCTATGCAGCTCCACCACCAATTCAACCTAGCCAGTACCAGCACTTGGGGGATGAAGGCAGGGGCCTCACTAAGAGGAAGCCTCACAGATATGACAGTAATCAAGCTGTGTTGTGGCCCTTATATCCCAGACATCCATACATATGGTCATATCCAGTAAGGAACCACACTGCCCTATGGTGGGAGTACTTGAATCACTTACGAAGAGATAGCTTAGTGACAAAAAAAGAAACAGCTGTGGTTAAACCAGACAATGTTTCACTGATCTCTTTAATTTCAGGGCTGTTCTCCTCCCACTCATCCCCCACTCACACACTGCTGACGTGCCCATCTTGCCATGCCAAGAGAACTGCAGCAACTTTCCCAAACTCAAAACTGATCTTTAAGCCCAGCCGGATCCTGTGCTGCAGGAACATTTGAGGAATGCTACCTACAGAAATTTATATTTTAGTATTTAAATTTTCTTGGACTCAATGATCCCTCCAGGTCCCTTTCAAGTATTTTACACATACATTAATACTACATCAAATGAGAGAAGACAAATTACAAGAGCACCCTTGTTTTTTTGTGGATATTGCCAAATCTTATTAGCATTTGATACGAAGTCAACGTTGACTTCCTTACCAAGGAATATTCTGCATCTGAACAGTAGAAATCAGTATTTTCTGGCATTTTCTTAAGCAAAGCCATAACAGGCGTCCACATGGAAACGTGGTTGTGACATAAACAACTGGCTCAGTAAGAGACAGGAAACAGACACCACATGAGTCTTGCTCTCCTCTTGCTTACTGGACACGTTCTCAAAAGAAGCACTCCAGCTTTCTAAGAGTTATGCCTAGCAGTCTTTGGCAAAGAGCACCTACTCAGCGTTAAGGAATATGCCCTTGGTGTGAGAATACTGAGCGCACAGGCATAGTGAGGACCCTCTTTTAAAATTATTTTTACCAAGAGTTTTAAAACATTCATCTATTTCCATGTTTTCTCATCCTTCCTGAAAAGTTCGACCTTCACACAGATGACCATTATTACATTTCATTATGTAGGGAAAAAAAAAAATCGTATATCAGATGTAAATAGTATATGCAAATAATTTCAGTGATACGCAGGACAATAGTTATTTGTGTACTACTAACTTAGAAGTTGGACAGATGAAAGCTTTTATAATGGAGCAGAAAACCAGCAGATTTTCCTGATCTGCATGCATTCAGAAGTCACACTGAGATTGACTACCAGAATGGGGAAAACTTCTTTGAACTGTAAACTTTTAAGAGCTAGCATTCTTCAGCTTATTGAGAAGTTCAACCAGCTGAAATAAGATATTTGACCTAGGTCACATCCCTTCTGTGGAAAACAATGTCAGTGACCACTTTAAAGTCATTCAGTTGCTGACTCATCTTTCTCTTCCAAGCATTCACAGATATACCATGAGAAAATACAGCACAAGCTAACCACAAAAGATTCTGGGGCTAGCAGCTGTCTGCAAACTAAATCCTACTCTGTAATTGTGGATCTGAAAATTTATAATTTGACTGAAAAGTAACCCATCTCCTATGCTTTACAGAGCAGCTAGATGGCATCATCTTTGATCTAGTGCCTTACCCTTATTAGCGGGACAGACAGTTTTTGAGAAAAGAATAACACAGCCCTAGTAGCTCTTATTTTCCAAGTATGACAATCAACAAGCTCAGTTTCTTTTCAGATATAATCATTTCTTCAGGGAAGACATTTTCCTTGACTATTTAACAGCAGGGGGCATATTCAGTGTATGCCAGCAAAATCTAATGAAATCAATGAAGTAGCACTGATTTGCGGTAATTCGAGAGGTACAACCATGTATTCCAGTGCCAAAGAATTTGGATGTTTTAAAGGCTTATACAGCCTTCCTTTCTGGGAAGTGTGTGTAGAAGGTGGGGGTAGGAGGCCTGAAGCAGGAGGAATCAAAGTCCACTTGATTTGTGGAATGGGGTTGCATTTAAGACAGCAGGGACAGTAAACACCTGCACAAATATATTAAAATCCTGACATTCTTCCTTCCACCTTTGTAATACAGTGTTTTTTTTTTCTCTTTTTTTCTTTTCTTTTTCTTTCTTTTGTTTCTGCTTCTTGGTTTGTACACACTGTTCCCAGTACTCTGAAATTAAAATGTAGCTACAGTTTGGGTACATCTCCTGAATCGCTTTTAACTACCAGATGCAAACATTTGAAGGCCTTTGGGTTCTGTGTGCCATATAAACAGGACCATAATACAGGCACTCGAGTTGCTTGCAGGGTGCAGCTGAGTACTGTTCATTTAAATGTGCTAAGAGGAATTTTTACAAGCTAGTTATAACTGTGAGTAATTGAAATCTGGGGACTGCATCATAAGCAAACACTACCACTGTTGATTAACAACAACCTGTAACTCCTCTTTTGTTTTTTTGTGGCCAGATTTATTATTATTATTATTTTTTAAACTTTAGTCAGTACTCAGTTTAATACATATTCTCAAAGCACATCCATCAGATGCCTTTCATATAATTCAGGAATACAGATACCTAGTTTGGGATTTCAGACATGTTTTGACATGAGAACAATTATGCAGTTCAGGCCAGCCAGAATAGTGGTAGCTTTAGACACAGGCAAACAAACACAAGCTTAAGAGACTATGTAAAGATCAAGGGGTGCATTTTCACTCTTAAACTTTCAAGTGCCTTTTAATTCCTTTCACAAAGCTGGATTCTGATAACAGAAGTCATACCACAAACAAGTCAGGTAAGATGCAGGTGCCACATACAGGTCTTCTAACTCCTTCCTCACACTTAATGTCTGGCTCCTCATCTTCCACCATCACCATTCTCAGCTCTTATTCTTTTATATAACTATTTCGAGTACACCAGCTGATAAATGATTAAATCATTCAAAAGAAAGACAACAAGTTTTGCTCAAGCCAAGCTTCAGATGGTTTAAGATTTACCATTAACTGTCTACCACACTGCAGGAAGAAAGCACTTCACAGTGATTTGAGATGTACGCGTCGTTGAGAACCATGGTAAGAATCCCCAAAAGATGGGTGCATTGGCACATCCTATAAAAACATCACTATTTAATGTACAAATATGTATGAGAGAACATACTGTCACAGTTTTTAAAAATAAAGGTTTTTAAATAGACAAATGGATTCTTTTGTTTCGTTAAAGTCAATATGCACCTTTGAACGCTCTTGCTTAAAGCTCCTGGACAGAGCTATCCAGTTAAAACATTTTGCCAGCTCTATCAAAAAAGCAAGGATGCTCAGAAGCCACGTACTTGAGCCTATGCAAAACTATTGGCAACACTATTTTAAGGCAGAGATAACAGAATGAGGGTGAATAGGATTTCAGGCACCTCTGGCAATCCAGATGTTGAACACGTCAGAATTACTCAATAATTACAACTCAAAAACAAAACAGCAATAAAATCCCTCAAATCCAAAGAAACAGTTTTACTTCTTACCATGATTTTGTGTGGGTTTTTTTTGATTTTTTTTTTTCTCCTATGGACACACTGATGTCTGATCACAATTCTGGAGGAAAAAAAAAGCTCAATGATCTCTATTCTCCATTTCTAGCAATGCTGTCACCTCTTGGCTCCCCTCCCAAACCCCGTGTACTTTTTCCCCATCAGCTACATGTAGACAGGTGAACTCATCAGAATCAAGAAGGTCTATAGTTAGGCTTTACTGTTTGACTGCAAACTTCTTCAGGCGAAAGGAGCCTCTTACCACCCAACACTTCTGCCCTCGGAGAAAGTCACTGTAGCTGCTTTAACCTTAGAGCTGGGGACTGTCCTTCAATACACACACTACATTAGACGCTCCATGCTCTAGGGAAGGCTCTTCTTAACTCCGCTGTGCCTGATATAACAACACCTAGAGCAAATGAGTCAGTCATGATCAGACAGAGATGGCAGTTACCTACATATTCTGAAGCTGCCTGCAGAAATAAGGACATGGAAAAGATCAGTTCACTCTAGAATTTTTGCGTAATATTCATCATTCCAAACTTTCAACATTATGGAATCTGAAGACTTCCTCTATGAGCAGAAATATCCTCCTATAAATTCTAAAATTAAGGTCTGGTAATTTTATTGTCAAATTCTGTACAAGCAATTGATGTTCAGTGTTTGCATACACATTTTGATTTAGACGTTTGCTAAGAAAATATTTATTACGATTGGAAGTTTAACATAGTAAATCAAACACTTAACATTCACTGAACTTCAAACATAGATATAAAATACCTTACAAAATTCTTTTGTATGGAATTACACAAAGCAAATGCACAGGGTTTTGTCTGTTTCGACACTGAATTAATCCCAAGCCAATACCAAAAAAATAACTCCTAAAAGATCACAAAAAAGGCAGGATAACTGCATTTTGTCATTGCACTGCTATGTAATAAGCCCTTTCTACAAACATTTATTGTTAAAAAAATCAAAACCGTATTCCATCTAACAGAACTACTGGATTAACAGCTGATTTTTTACTGACTTTACACCATGAAAATCTATTAACAGAGGTAACTTAGTCGCTTAGTTTAAAATATGGAGAGCAGAAATAGAAAAAATTAACCTTTAGTAGTCTTTAATATAAAATGCACTACATTTTTCAAAATAAGAATATTATGACACACTAGTGCCAATTTATGCTGACAAAAGCTGATATCAGCTCCTTTCTAACTAAAAATTTGTTTCACAAAACCTTTATATATTACATGAATATTCAAGTAAACTATTTAAAAATATTAAAAAGCACAAAAACTGAATTATACAGTGTTTCAGAGAGACAGTTAATTTGGGAATGCTGTCATGTTCAACTACATATATCTATAGATATATATTTTTTCTTATTTTTAAGACCATCACAATGATACTACATGATAATGGCCAAGAATCCTTGTCATTAACATTTGATATTTTTCAATGTATAACTTCAAAAAAAAAATAAAATAAGGATTTCACACATTGCTGTGTATTTGTTCACTGCTTTCTATATACTGTGTGATACTGAATCACACTACTGGCTTCCCTTTGTAAAGTGCCGAGTAACAGCCAAATTACATCAAATTTTACTGGAGATGATGGTGCTCAGTGTCTTGCAAAAAATCACAATTGAACTTCAACAATCAAAAAATGAAAGTGTCAAATCTCTAACAGAACCCTGAAAGACTAGCATTTTTCTTGCAGGCTTTGTTCTTTATATCCATCAGCTGCAAGGAAATAAAAATATTTTATTAATGATTCAAACACTGGACACCTTCTCTGGTTGAAAGTGAGCTGATCACTAGTTTTGGTCAAGTGGCTTTTGGGAAACTTTCAGAACAAAATAACACGGTAACAGGTAATCAAAAAGGAAAATGCAAATCATGCACAGCTATTTTACTGCAAGAATTGAATAACACATGCAAGACAAAGAAAAGGTCAGAACATACCAAAGTAGAAATGGTTAAGACGTTAGTAAAATTTTCACAGTGTTTCATACAGCCTTTACATTAACACGAGTGTATCACTTACCACCACTATTGCTCAGACATTGTATAACACCTCTTGGCCATGCAGATCAGTTTGAGAAGAAAACAGCAAATTATACTTCTTAGGCGTTTTTAGACAGTAAGTACAACTTATAATTTTATTTTTATATTCAGTCTTATCAAACAGGTGTTTTCAAGACATTATTCTTCTAAGTACCAGACTTTAACATTCCCTCCAATTTTGTTGGATCCTGAGCACAAAATGCCAAAAAAAAAAAAAAAAGGCCAAATATACAAAGCTAAGCTTTGTTCAAACAGCCCAGTTATTACAAAATCAGAAGGTATAGGGAAATTGTCATTGACACTCTTAAATATCTTCCTTCCTAACCTTGAGATTACTCTAACCTTGGGATGGTTGAATTTCAATCCTTTGTTCACATACATCTTTGCCTCCTGGAAACATTACTCCACTTGTGTGATTTATGAAGGAGTAGAACTAGACTGAAGAACACCACTGACTTTTTTTTTTCCTCCATTCAAAGAACAAAACACATTTTTCCCCCACTTGGCAAATTCTATTTGACGCCACATCACCACCATTCAATATTAACTCATAAAACAAGAGACTTACTCCACTGTTAAACACCGCAGGGGAAAAATGTCCAGAGGATAAATGGCAGGCTCTTTATCAGATATAATTGCTTGCTCATAAGGAGAGAATCCAGCTTCCCCTTAGCTATTCTTTCATAAATTAATAATTTGTTAAAATCATAGTCACAAGATTTTTAACTATTACACAAAATTCAAGTTTTAAAAAAAAACAATAAATTAGTTACAGCCTTGTAAACAATTGTTCATTTATGTAACATACGTGGGGAAAAAAGTTCTTCTATATAATAAATCAGACAGTACAAGGCACACATCACACTCAAGAATCAAAAGTGATAAAACCAGCAGATGCCTTCATCTTCTTTGCTTGCTGGTGTAATTGTGCTATAGACACTGTAAAAATATGTATATTTTTGTTTACATTACAGTCATCTGAAAACATTTCATGACTGTGCTTTTTCCGATAAAATACTTGTGCTACTTTACAGTACGGTGTGATTTGAAGCTTTTGGAATCAATTCTCTCAAACGTTCTCTACAAAGCTGCCAGGGAAAAGGCCAGTTTTTCCATTTCGTTGCAGAGTGCCTTTGAACCAGCCATCCTCACGTTTTTTATGTACAAACACAATGTCACCTTCTTTAAGTTCAAGTTCTGCTTCACTCTGAGGAGGATAGGATACCACAACTCTGTACCTGTTTGATAGGGGAAAAAAAAAACCACAAAATTTAGTTTAGTTTTTTTTTTTTTAAATGAATGCTTTTAAAATTTCCCTATGCACGTTCAAACTTAACAAGAAACTGTATAAAACTGTTAAGTATACCTTGGACAGAAAATAATAATAATTTAAAAGCATGCATCTCATATCATGATTTTTTCTAAACTATGACTCCTTTAAAAATAAACAAAAAAGGCAAGTAAGAGGAGAAAATTGTAAGCACATTTTTGAAGATAGGTTTGAGACTCTTCCAGTAGAACAATTCATCTATAATCAAAGCATTCAGAACAGAAATTGAGCATAATTTTATAACTGTATGTTTAATATGATGTTATCCCAGGGAACGCTCTTAAGGAAGCGTGCATAGAACAAAAATAAGCAACAAATAACATCTACTAGTTTGCTTTTGGTTTTAATTATTTTTGTTTATCTTAGAGCTGTTCAAGAAAAGAACGCATGTCATCTTAATTAAACAGTTGCACAATTTGTGTACTACTTCATTAAAAATAAACATTTTTAGAAGTACTCAACCCAACAATTTCCTTTAGCACTCAGCTGATAAAAATGTATTTTTCCAGTTTTTCACAGTAAAATCACTACTTTTCAAATACAACTACATTTCGCATTTAGTACAGGCTTCTAATACTCTTCTATATTTAGTCTCTTCTATGATGGCTTGAGTTCACATAACCCTAAAATTTACATGTTATAGCTCTATAGACAATTATGTCAACTTCTTGAAAGTTTTCTGATAATTATCATAATTGAGTCTCTAGCTACACAATCAGTAATTTCTGCATCTTGAAACTGAATACGATCAATAAGTAACAACAGAATTCAAAAGCTTCTAAGGTTAGAGAGCCTTCAGTGAAGTGCTGCTGGATGTGTTGGACAAAATCTAGTTTCTGGTTAAAATCAGAACACTGCACTCATCAAGGTTTTTGTTGTCGTTGTTTTTTAAGAGAAAAACAATGAATTAACAATCTGTTGAAGACAAAATACTGACTGTAGCTCAATACACCCCTAATAACACCAGTTAATTCTGTAATACTGAAACACCAAAAGATTAAAGTACTGCATTCTTCTTAAGAACATATCGTAACAAAAAATGAAGTCTGTCTGCATCTTTAAAAGTGTTCAGAAAAGGGTAGCAGCACTGTGTAAATAGTTATAGTCTCTCGGGAGATCTATGTATAGCAAATCGTACTGGGACATAATCACTTCTCAAATCAGGACTCAATGAAGATATAAAGGAGAGTGGATGCCAACAGGCACAATTTAGCTCATGGGAGAAGAGTAATGGGAAGCAAACTGCTGGTTTGCTACAAAGATCTGCAGTAGCAAGATGGAAAGGAATGCCACCATCTTCCTTTCCTTTGGAGAAATTGCTACAGGTAACAGGCTGCCCAGAGAGGTTGTGGATGCCCCGTCCCTGGAAGTGTTCAAGGTCAGATTGGATGGAGCCCTGGGCAGCCTGGTCTAGCATTAAATGAGGAGGTTGGTGGCCCTGCGTGTTGGCAGGGGGGTTGGAGATTCATGATCCTTGAGGTCCCTTCCAACCCTGGCCATTCTGTGATTCTGTATCGAAGTATTTATCTGCAAATCCATGCCACCAGCAGCCTGTGTGCTCTCAAATCTGTTAATCCATTTACTCTGTATGAATGGAAACAAGCTCTTTAATGGTTTGAATTTTACTTTCAATTTTCTACAGAACACACATTAAATATACTGTAAGAGAACTTGGCAATACTACTGAATGGAAAAACAGTGGGATTACAATGAAGAATGTGTTCCCATGTCTTAAAGGCAAGGCAAGACTCTGGGGAAAACTCTGTATCAAACAAATATTTTCAAGTGCTTTTCAGAGTTGATTCAGGCACTTTTACTTCTTATTCATGCAGAACATCAGCAGAACATAACTCCTAAATCCTATAGCTGACTTTGAAAACAGAACTTCAATGCTAATAATTATTCTCCAAAGTCAGAGTAGAGTACTGCTGTGGTTTTATACAGACAGACTGTAGCCTGTGATTGGAATTATGATATGTAAGAGCAGAACAATCTTAGCATGGGATTTCTCTGTTCTTCAGCTCTTCTTGAGGTTTCTTTCATTAATACTTTCCATCCCTCTCTCAAAATGTTACGAGAAGATACAGCGCGTTCTCTATGCATCCCTCCCTAGAACTAATAACACTGATTCATGTTCACAAGATACTCTGAAGACAGAATAGAAGTACATAGTCCTATTAAGCAACATTAATGTGACCTAAAGAAAAAGTGACAAGAGCACATCAGCAAGAAAAGTATTAAACCTTCCCTGAAAAGCACAAAGAGAATCCATATGAAATTCTGCTTAAATACACTGACATAAAATATAATAACTCTGCATAAGTAGCAGAGAGAATGAATTTGTGGTAGCATTTCTCTGGTAGTGATTATCACTTCCCTAAATATTAAGAATACAGTTATATTAAAAGGATTTTTTTCATATATGTTATTATTAGAGTAATAGAAGTATACAGCATCATTCTCAACAAATAGTTCCAAGAAATCAGTCTCCAACATGGAAGTAAAAAACCTATTTTTCGTGAAGATGCAATTAGCTTTATACAAATAATCACTGATCATGCTAGAATTAATTTGATATTATTATTGCATTCAAAGCATAAGAACATACTATTATGCCAAACTGACTCATGATTTTGTGAAAATAAATTATTTTTTAAGAAAAATCTTTTCTTATTTTCCATCTACAAGTGTAAATCTACTTCAGAAATTCAGTACGAGTTAGAAATTTCCTCAAAGAAAACTGCATGGAAACAGTAATAAACTTTTAAATAACGTTGTAGGTATGACAGAAGTCAAATAAAAGAAAGTAAAAACGTATATACTGTCTGTCTCTTAATACATGGATGTAGCTTAAGATCAATAAGACTAGAAGCACAATGGTATGCTCACACATCATGCATGAGTAGCACTAGAACAAGCTCTACACTAGTCAGCAGAATTCAGTTTAGAGCTGTTAAACTGGAACTCTGTTTTTTTCTGCATGTAGCTACATGAAAAAAAAAATCCTTCAATAGTCTTCATAATGCTTGTCTACTTTCAAGGGTAATAAAAAGAAACAGTAGTTAGGGACTGGGAAGGAAGAGGCAGTTTTCTACAACCTACCAAGGACCTTGAAATCTGAAAATATTGGGTGGATGCAAAAGGAAAGTGATTGAACCTTAAAGTAACTGCCTGGCTGCTTCAGAGACCAGACAGCTGTGCACTTTCTAGTCTCACTTGTCAAGATGCAGAGGCTATCCTAACAATTCCTATGTGGAGTGCATAGTAACAAGGAATTCATGTAGGAAAAGCATCTCTGCAACAGTTTAAGAAATCATGTATTAATCTGACACAGAGATAAATTACTTATTCAGCATAGATTTGGGTTGGTAGTTAAGTACTGCTAATAATCCTAAAGGTCTGACCTGATAATTCTATATGCAAAACTGTAGTTAGTGTTTTGCAAAAGAGACCTGTTCTCTCTACCTCAGTCCTCATTCCAAGGCTAGATCACTGTATTTTACCATGTATTTACACCAAAATTTTAAAGTAACAGAAAGCAAACAAGCATAAATATTAAAGTTGGTTAATTATATAAAGCATTGTTAGAAGAGCAAACTTAGTTTTTACAAGATCTCAGCATTGTGAAGAACTGCTAGCAGTTCTAATACACAGAGAACATCACAGAGTGCAATTTTTTTTTTTTGGTTTGCCTACATTTTGAGGCTGAGGATAACTTACCTTTCACAGACAAGAGGCCTGGACTCATTCAAGACTGGACCCAGGGACGAGCAAGGCAGCCGCGGTGGTGGTGCTATGGGAATAGCAGAATCCAAGGAACTCGTTTTCCGCTGCAACATCTCCTGTGCTGGCCCAGAGACCTCGCAGTCAGTGGGACAGGTTCCAGCTCTGCTATGACCTCCTGCTGATGGAAGTTCTGGCCCAACTGCACCTTGCAGGGCTAACTCTGTGGCTGCCTGCTCGACCTCCAGAGTTGGAGATGCTGGAGGTGACAACCGTGGCTTGCGTTTAGTGGATGCTCCAGAAAGCAGTTTCAGCAAACCCTTTTTTTCTTTCTGTAAGCAAAGGGCAGTGCCTCTTTTCAGAACAAAGGTATTCTACAAAGAGTTAATCACTTACAGATGCCACCTTGTCCAGAAGAGACTTAGTAATGAGGAAATGCTTGATGAAATCATTACAAGAGACCATTATGAAAATTATAAAAGAGAATTACTAAAACTGTGAAGAGAAAGATGCTAACTCATTCAGATCATAAACCAGCCCTTTTGCTTAGTTAAAGTAAGTTAAAGCTAACCTTAAAAGCCAACGTCAGTGGACCAAAAATTTGTCTACAAAAAGGAGGGAGTCATTAGAGACTGACAAAGGGGAATCCAAGAAGTAAAACAGTTAACTCTCAATTCCTTCCTGGAAACTTCCATGTTATCTCAGACCAAGCAGGGAGAAAAGTCTGCCCTGGAGGCTGCTGTTTCAATAAGTGTATTTTATTTATTTTCCTTCAGTAAGGGAAGGCCTTCACGATTTAGCAAAAATTTGCCACAAGGGGAATGCATTGTGTTTTGCTGCTCTGCTAGAAGGGTGAATTGTAAACATTCTTCTTGCTTGCCCAGACAGGAATCCCTGAAGACTAGGACTCACCCTGAAGAGAATTATTTAAGTTGCTTTTGTGTTTCTTGTTGTGTTTTTTTTTTTTTTAAGGGGTGTGGCAGCGATCATCTCACCAACTCCCTGACTAAGTGAATTTAGTGCTTAGGAGAAGTGCCAGATTGTAAGCCCTGAAGACAAAAATAAGCTATAAGCTAACCACAGAAAGAGAAAAGCTCAGCAGTGTGAGACTTTTATTACAGCTTAGGATGCAGTGGAATTGGTGAACTGTGAATGAAAAATCCTCTGTCTTTTTTCCAAGTCTCCAATAACTTCACGCTATTTCAGCAAAAAGCTGCTGTCTACAAAATGGGAAAGAAAAAGAGAAACTCCAAGGAATTAGCATAGTCCAAATACATCAGCATCTTTCACCTTAAACTCTAAATCTATTCTTTAAAAGTCCTTCCTACAGGCATCTTGGTCTGTTTTCAGTGGTTACAACTGAAAGTCATTTAAAAATGAAGTTCTATGTTTCTCCATTCAACAATAACCAACAAAAATAATTAAAAAGTGGGTGAGATTACTGTTACAGCCTATGATTAAAACTTTCATAAACTTCATTAAGAAGAGTATGTGGGTGAAAAGTATCAACGTAATGCCTAAAACATTTGAGATCTAAAGGAAGTTGTGGAAAAAAAAAACAGAAAAAAGGTTTCAAATACTCCACAACTGTAAAACAAAACTGGTTAGAAATTTGTTGGAATGTTTCTGCCAACAATGTAACATAATGACACCGTTGGACAGTAAAAACGAATTTGGACGCAGAGTAAAGTACTTCAGATGGGAAGGAAAAAAATGGAATTGCTAGACTGACCTTCATTTCAAAAAGACAGTTACATGTCTGGTTTTTCAGCTTTCTTTTTTTCTTTGTGCAACAAACACTGCTTGTAACACATTTTCTATGATCTGTGTGTCTGCTTAACAAGGAAGAAAAATTTTCTAAGGCTTATTTTTTCCATTCATTTATCCAACCTAAAGGAATATTGATTAACACTAAATATGAATTTTATTTCATTAGATTGAACTCTTCGTGGTCCTGTTAGTTCATCACCTTTTTTTTTGTTTACTCTTTTTTTTTTCCTCTCCATTACCACATTAATACATAAGTTTAGAGATACTTACAGATAACGTTTGCTAACCATGCAACTTTCTTAGGTATCCAGCATCCTGGCTTCAGATCCAGAATACAAACTATTTAAAATCCCAACAGTCAGTCAGCTCTTCTGAACTTTCTTAACTCACCATTTTTCATCCAAATAACAGCATGAACCAGCTACTCTATTTTAACCCTTCTCCAATGTCTGCTCTGTATTTTATATATCCCTATTTTTGAATGGCCATGAAAGGGCTTGCCTGCAGCTGTAGTCACAAAATGGCTGCCTGAGTTTCAGGTTAAGCCTTTCTAACCTTACAGCACTGCTCTTCAGCAGAGGTAGGAAAAAAGCACTGCTAAGAAGTGTGCATGAAGAAAATCAGAGCATTCAAGAGAGTGATTTGATTCTCTACGCACCTTGACATCCTTGTCTGTTTTACTGGCAGCAGCACTACCACCAGCTGCTAAAGAGCTCTCTGGAGATGCAGGAGCTACAGGGTGAGTGTTCACAGTTCTCCCACTTATATCTCCCTCCAAAGATGAAGCAGCAACGTTGGGAGAATTCAAAGAAGCTGCTGCACATGCCAGTGGGATGGCTGAACGGTTCACATTCACAGCTGTGACATAAGCAGCAGTATTTGGAAGCTGGGACTGGAGCTGCTGGGAGGCAACAGAATGGTGGGGAATGATCACAGCTGCAGGAATAAGGCATGTTTGACTTTGTGCTTGTATGGGTGTGACTGCTGCTGTAGGCCGGTCTTGATTGTGTACAGCAACTAGAACAAAAGGATAACATGAGAGAGTTCAACTTTGCACAAAGCATGCAAAAAATGAGGTACTGTCACCATCTTGCAACTAGTTGATTTTAAAAAGTTTTCTTCCTACTATGTCACTTCCATTTATATTACCATAATAACATCTTACACAGCATCAAATATATCTCTACCTAATAGTGGAGCAGCATATGCCTAGTAATCTACTTACATCAGTCTGCCACAGGAAGATTAACAGCACTGCAGCTATCGTGGAGATGTCCAAGCTGCTAAGCAAAGTACTTCAATTGCAAAAAGCATGTTCACAAGAGCTAGATAAATACTGCCTGGAATTTGTTTGTTCCTTATTATATGCTATGTAGTTGTCAGTGCACATAAAACAATACAGAAAGAAACACTCCTTTACAGAAGCTGCTAAAAATATAATTGGATTGTTTTCCCTAAACAAAAGCCACAACAGACTTAGTGGGTCTTTCAAACAGTAACTACAGTGGCAATTACTGCTATGAGTGGTTTTTCTGAAAACATATGCTATTGTCTCTTGGGATGTTTAAATATAGAAATGGATTTACTCATACCCCTGGTGAAATAAAAGCAACATTACACTGAAAGTTAGAGAGCAGCATAGGGATGAATATATTAACCCGGGCTGCAGCCCAGCTGCAAAGCACAGATCTCTACATGAATTTATCCTTTCCAAGAAACAACATTGCTTGTTACAGTAATACTGTCAACAATACGTGCTTTAGCTCATATAAACAGGTTGGACATCTCTGTACCACCAGGTGGTATGAAGTGCAGACATCTCACCTGAACAATACACGGCTAAATGCAGCATTCCATTGTTGCACCAGGGTCTTTCCTTCAGATATGCTGAAACTCAATAGCTAGGAAAGGGTAAACCCTCTGGTATGGTGCATGCACTTCTCAAATAAATCAATTCATTTTGATTTTTCAGATACAAATTAAGAGTTTCAGGCTTGTTACAGAAGTAATATCCTGGAATCAAGCCTCTAGTGCTTTCCTCTCTTCATTCTCCTGGTAGATTGTACCAACAGTGCATTAGAGAAGACTGACACAGTTCATAAGTTTGATATAACAATACTACAGTACGTATTATATCCAATTACAGTCTCTGAGATAAGAAACACAAGTTCTTTCTTAAAAAGAAAGCAGCACTAAATGCTACGTATACTTTTTGATATGTGATGTCTCCTACCATATCAGATCTTTCTAAGTATCATGAACATTTCAAAAAGAAGATAAGAATGCAGACTAGCCTAAAACCAAAAGCGGCAAGCTTTTTGATTGTTAAAAAAAAGTACAGAACAAAAAAACAACAAGAATTCCAACAATTATTAACTACCTCTTGTTTGCAAGATAAAGCCAGTTTTCTTGCAAGTACCTGCTGTTTTGCAAGTTATGTCTATGCTTGCATACAATCAATGAAGTGAAAGTATGGGATTGCTTTCTGGCTTTGTTTTCTGAACTGTAACAGAAACTGCAGGTAGGCACCTGAAGTCCCTCTATTTCCATACAGTTCATCCTTAATGAAACAGGTATAATATACATTTCCTTCCCAGTTCCTTTTGGTGAAGGAATACAAACTCCTCAGACACTGCTTGTCTTCAGTGGCACTAAGATAATTTGAAGAACAATCCTCAAAGTCCTAAGCTAAACAGAAACTGAAGAGCCCTACAAACTGCAGCGTTAGCCTGTGAAGCCTCATCAAGAGAGTAATACTCAGACAGCAAAAGTTCAAGATGATCACATTTCAGATGCTGACTACATAGTTCTCTCTAACATTTGAATATAAAGCAGCCATTATTGCTTTAGTTTTGGTTAAAGAGGCCCTTACAAGGAACAGATCTATAGTTGTGACTGAACAGTATACTTTTACACCACAATCCAGTGTTAAGTTCCCAATGAAGAGAGTCCTGCTGCTCTGCATTTTCCATTTGGGACCTGAGAAGTTGGTGGGCAGTGTGCTGTCATGTTTTCCAGCTGAATAAACTGTAAGAGCGTATTCATCTTGACAGAAGCATCGAGATGCAGAAACAGAAAAGCCTTTGGAGCTCACAGGAGCTTTCTCTTTTGCACAGTCACTTGCAAGCTTCTAGAGAGCTTGAAAGGATTTAAAGTAGGAACCACCTGTGCCTGAGAGGCAAGAAAGTATGTTTTGCTTAGTTTCTCTTACTGCCTGCCAATAGCACCTGGTGGTGTTCTCTTTTTTTTTTTTTAATATGAAAGTAAAGAATGAAGTTGTAACAAGGGATCATTGCATCTGTTCCAGCCTAAGATCAGACTGTAGGAAGATGGGCCAATTAAGAAAATATAGTATCTAAAGACATATATATGGGTCCTGCCTTCAGAAACAGACCCAGTGCTGATATCTGAGCATATGTAAGATGTTTGGGGAGCTGCATGACTCTGAAGGAAGGATGGGCTCCACAAGTCCATAGATTTTGAGAGCATAAGCAGCAATCATCCTTAAACTGATTATACCATTTGCAATTCCTTTTGTCTTCTGTTCTGGCAATTAGGATTTAGTAAATAAAAAAAACAAATCCAAAAACATTTCCATTCATGACTCTTTCAGCCAAGAGACCTTAGAGCCTAAATACAAGGCTGAAAGATGGAACACTAGGATAATTTTCAGTGGAAGTTGATTTTGTGTTTTGGGGTTTTGTTTGTTTTGTTTTTAATTGTTGTTTTTGGACTTGTTCTTCTAAAGAAAAGAAAAGAAAAAATCCAACAACTGAAACAGATTAGGATCCAGTTGCATGCTATTTTCCTAGCTTGGCAAATCTACAGTGGAACAACACAAAAACTCCTGAAAACAGCATTATCAATCTTTTAAGATCGGGGTTTAAATAATAAGAAGGTATGTTTCACTATCACGTGACCTGTCCTATACATAGAAGACAGAGTTATACCTATCAGAAATATTAAATTTTATGACATAGATGGTGTGCATCTTGAAGCCAGTACAGTCCTAAGGGTTTCAGTGTCAAAGCTGGAAGACATTACAGTCAATTGCAGACAACAAACTAGAAAGCCTAAAGACCAATGCTGAGCCCTGAGAAAAAAAAATTCTAGCACCTTCAAAGATAATCAGAGATAATTTAAAAGTACTGCTGACGTACAGTAATCTGAAGTTATGTAATTATCTGTATACTGTTAACATGAAAAATAAGCTATGACTCTTCCAGGTACCATTGGAAAAGAAAAGTAATTCCAACTAAAGCACCTATATGTAATTTTCCAACAGGAGAAGTACTACTTATGTGCATACAATTGATTGGAAGAGAATAATAAAAGATTCAAAAATTCAGAGAGTTACACTGGAATTCTAGAAAATATTCAGCTCTATAAGACTACTTAAAAAATGCTTAAGAAACCCAACATATTTATACATATCCTGACTCAGACAACCTGCTCAAACAGACCTACAGTTTGTCTACCACAAAGATACTACTGCACATACAAAGCTTTTTGTTCAATTGTTTTCTTTTACCTGTTCTAACTGCGTTGCGAGCCTGGTTGACTGTCATTTGTCCTGTCACGTGCATAAGGACCTTGGTTTGTGGGCTAGTTTGGATATGTGCTGCAGAAACCACAGCTGTGGGTACGGTGCTAGAGTTCACTGCCACACCATTCCCCTGGAGCTTCTGAGATGTCCCACCAGCAGTGGAAGGGCTGACCACAGTTACCACTCGTCCTGTTTGACCAGCAGTAGACATGGGAACTTTCGTTTGCGATGCACTTGTCACTGTCCTGTCAAAATTTAATAACAAAATACTGAAATACAAGGCATACTGACACTCATCTGCAGCTCTTCCAGTACCTAGCGTTAGGATTAAATATGCAATCATTTTGGACCTGAAACTAGAAAAACTATTTAGACACTCATTTAAAAATATACCTCGTAGCTGGAGCCACGTAGTTGCCAGGAAAAACACCAATCTTGCTTGTATGCATGGAAGTTCCCTTGAACCAGCCATCTTGGCAGCGTTCAAATACTAAGAACATTTCTCCCTTCCGCAATTCCAGTTCATCCTCTTTTCGAGGAGTATAAGGGTATATGGCAATATATCTGAAAGACAGCAAAGTAGATGTAGTTGTTAAAACTAGAACGATTAAAAATATCACTTGCATTTCTGAACCAGAGAGAGTTCAGAGTCAAAAATGAGAAGATGTGGTAGAAAAGGCTACATGATAGTTGATCCATCCCATGGTTGCAATATTAAAGCAGAAGTCTGACAATATCACTGGAAGCAATGACCATTAAATAATATTCTCCTAATTGCACTTCACATTACTTCCATTTTCTTAATTTAGTGATCTTAATTAAATAAATGTTGATCAGCTGCAGATCCCACCAAAACCCACCTCTCTCACTACACCTGCTTCTAATATATGACATGCCAAGTTTTACAAGAACTTGACATTCATAGTTAAGTTAGCTAGCAGTTATTACAGTTTTTTTTCCTTGCAAAGTAGCATTACTGCATAATACAACACAACTTAAATAACAGTGAGAGTTGAGAAGCGTTTTACTTTTTTTTTTTTTTTCTTTTTTAAGAAAGATATTTGTGGAAAACTGTGTCTCAAGCCCTGTAATGAACCTCTGCAGGAAAGCAAATGATGTGCTTTAATTGGTGTTCATTAACTTCCCTTTTAGTTAAATCATTGCAAATTTCATTAGTATCCCCAAATAAAGCAATCCTTTGAAGATGGAAGATGGGAATAAATGAGATGGAACTTGATTAACGGCAGTAAGCAATAATGATCCACAAGAAGCAGTGTTAAAAATGCTTTACACCAATGAAAGGCCCAACTCCAGATGCACCTGCTACACAAGATGGGTACTCTTTTGGAGAGGAATGAAGCCTGGCACAACAATAAAAACCAAGACAGGACAATAGAGGTCCTTGCATAATTCAGATGTGTCCTATCAGATGGCTCAACCACTCCTTAATGTTGTTCTTTTTTTCCTCCCCTTTCTTATTCTCCCATCTGCATACAGTGAAGTTTCCAAGAAAGATGTTGTCACGAGTACATGTTAGTATACAAAATATTTTCAACCAGAAGGATCATGCACACTTGCTTGTAGAAGCATGAAAACATAATGCTAGCTAGCAGCTTTCTGCCTTCATTTCAAACTGACACCCAGTAATTAACTGAACTGTAGAATCCTCAATCAAATTTCAATTGCAACTTACATAAGCAGACTGACAATAACTTGCTAATATAACAGACTAAATGAGGAACAGTATTTCTATGTCTTAGCATGAATTATTCCATATGAGAAGTCTTTTCATTCCACTCATAACAGAAAACTTTGAATAAATTCACTCCACTGTTTGCCACAAGTAAGCTACACAGTCTTCATCACTAACTTCAGGATTCATTCATATTCTGCATGATAAATGCTTTACATTTTTGAAGTGAGGTATTTTTTTTTAAACAAACGGCATCAGCTGATATTTACTTATGACATGAATAACACTCAGTACTAAGGCCATCTGAGGATACCACCATTATGCTTTTGTTTAAAGTAGTACGTGTGGCTTTTGGGAATTTCAGCAAACATAACCAGCTGACACGAATTAATTACAAAATGAAGTTACTGATCACGTTGCATTTTTCTGATTGGCAGAATGTTTCAATTTTACTTACACACTTGGACGAGTCTGTGGTCTTAAATGTGCCATTTGGTCAGCTGATCCTGATGCAGACCTCTGAATTACACCTGCAGGCTGAGGTCCAGAAGAGGCTGATGCAACAACTGCAGCAGACAGAGGTGGTGGTGGAAGAGGGGGATTCATATTCTGATATTTTGAGGGGAAAAACAAAAAACAAACAGCAATATTTTTTTCAGCTGATTCAACTCATCAAACAGAAGTATGATATGCTAAAGAAGCAAACAAAGTTCAACATTCTACTGCCTACTGGTGAAATACAGAGTTTGAATTGCTTGCGTTTTGCTTTTTCAAGTTTAAATCTTGAAGTCTTGGCAGCTAATTAAGCAAAGGACAAGTAATCTTGGAGGAAAAACTGATGGCATTGTTTCTAATTATAACATCTTTTAGGATAGGACTCAATGGAAATTCAGAGGCCTTCCAGGGGGCTGATTTTGCATCCTACTGCTGACTGTACTTCAAAACATTACTGTTTTTGTAACCTGAAGCTGAAACATAATATACCATTCAAGAGCAGTGCACCCCAAACCACCCCTTTTGGGGGAAAATTTCTTTTGATGTATGGGTAACAAAAAGCAAGCACAACATGAGATCATAGCCACTGAGCTATTGTTACTGCTTTCACTTATTCTTCTAGTTTAAAGGGTTAGCTTTTGAAATTCAGTATTATCGAGATTGGTAATCTTTAACAAACACTCCAGTAAAAAGGCAAAGTTCCTTTCCAGGCAGATATTAACAGGGGTTCTGCCTACAGGATTCTATGCCTTTTGAGACTCAATGGAGCAATTGTTACCTTCTGCTCTATAAAGCCTCAGACAATTCTTTAGGAGCTTGTGTACTGACACTCCTGGGAAAATTATCTCAGAAAAGCAGAACTTTTCTTTCCTCCTTCCAAAAATAATTATTTGTATTACAACAAACAAATAAAAAGAAACCTCACATATTTCAAAATGTAAAACAGAATTCATTTCATACATGATCTCGGACTTAAATCAATCTTTAATGCTCTAATTTGTGCTGAGATCTAGAAAAAACCCCACAAAAATAGAAATTAACAAAATGTACTGAAACGCTGCCTGGCTCACTCAGTACATCTGCATATAAATGCATTGAAAGTAATTTTAATTCCCCTCAACCAACCTACTTCTAAAAGCTTGTTGTTTTCCTAAACAAAAAGGTGCAGACAAAGTATTTCCACACTGTGGGATTAGTACCTCACTGCATTGTGTGAGCATTAATAAAAAGATGACAAGGTAAGACTAGTACAGAAAGTAAAGACACAGTAAAGTATTACATGATCAAATGGTACAAAACCTAGAGAAAGCTGATGGTCTCTTACAGCAACCATAGTTTCTGTCAAACTTCTTATGCTTAATTAGGTATGAATAGAAACGTAAATTGCAAAATACTTTATTTTTCTAATCCTGCATTATTTTTCTTTTTTTAAACCAGACCAACTGTAACCAAAACAAAGGAGCTGTGAAAAATAACTGTGAGCTTTGATACTAACAACTTTTATAAGAGCTGTAGATACACTTCACATTCTAGACTCCTACCAATTCAGTATTTTTAAAATATCTTCTGTTCTGAAATACTTGCATTTCTCTTTCATTGCTTCACAGCAGAATTTCCTCTCCCAGTCAGCTTCAGCAAACATCGTGTATGAATCCAAATTGAATATAAGCAACTAACTTTTAGGCAACTGTATTAAATCGTATAAATTCTAATCTTTCTGGGGGAATGCAGATTCAGTTACACATGGTGGAACCTGCAAATGCATATTGGAGATGATCAGCTTGAAATTCAAGTTTTTACAGAGAGAGTGGTGAGGTGCTGGAACAGCTGCCCAGAGAGGTTGTGATGCCCTGTCCCTGGAGGTGTTCAAGGCCAGATTGGATTGAGCTCTGGGCAGCCTGGTCTGGTATTAAATGTGGAGGTTGGTGGCCCTGCATGTGGCAGGGGAGTTGGAGATTCATGATCCTTGAAGCCATTCTGTGAAATCTTTACACCTATCCACGCACCAAGGCATCGCTATTTCATACTTCCTGCATCTCCAAAGTTATAAATGCTGGGTGTTGTACTTATCAGATCACAATACAGATAGAATTTTTAGCAGCAATAAAGGCACATTCCCAGCTCTATTTTATTTTGCTCCATTCCCTCCCCATGTCTATTACTATGGTAATGAAACGTGCAGTGAGCCACAGCCCAATTAAACCCCTAAAGACTGGGCAAATACTCAGGAATTTAAACAGACTACCTGATAGGCTTTAGAAGACAACTGCTTCTCTGCTGGCACTGCTACAGCTTAATAAAACGGGCCCAAATGCTCTAGTCAAGTTTTCAGTAAGTTTTCCAACATTTAGCTATTTTTGTAGCTACTGAGAAACATACCCACCTTTAGCACAAGCTAGTTTTGATGGTCTCCATAGTCAGCATTTTGTGAAAGAATATATGCAAGCTCCATATGATTTAATAAAATATACTTCTCAAAATAATTTTAAGTATTTTTTATATCAGACAGTTGAGTTGGTAAAAAAAAAAAAAGAAACTTGCTGCAACGGCTTTTCAGACAGCAAATGTACTTTCAGCATAAAATGGCATCTTCCATGCATCTCTGAAGCATGATGATTGTTTCTTAATTCAAAGATGGAACACTATACAATTTGATAATTATGTTATAAATGTCAAACTGTACTTTTAAGCATGTTCTAGTAACTCACATATATTACTAATTTTAAATATATTTAGGCTTCATTCCTGTATCTGTCAGCTGCAGACCAGCAATCAGCTCACCAGAACAAAAGGCAAAATGGTGGAAAAAATATTAATTAACTATCTTCATTCTCACAAGGCATAGAAAAAAATATACAACTCACACAAACCCCTCAGAGCTAACAAATTAAGGCTCGTGTTTAACAAAATTCCTGAACTATGCATTATCAAGAGCAGGCCTCTCAGATAAAACCTCATCGTTTCTTTCAGCTGCTTCCTCTTAGCAGCATAAAGTTTGAATATTTGTTGGTTTAAACTCAGTTCTTGTTTAAACCTCCTCCTGATGTACACTACTGAACCAGCTGGAACAACATGAAAGAGAGTTGTAAGTCATTGGTATACTACAATTCTCACAGTCTGATCTGTTAATGATGAGACACAAGCTATCTTATGTACTTTAGCACAGAAGGGCAATTTTTGTGTGGGTGGGTGGGTGAGAGAACAAACAGAACCAGAAACAGGGATTTTTTAAATTTTAGAAACCTTCAGCATGTAAACTAATGTAAATCATCCAAATATAGACCATCTATTTTGCATATATCACTATTTCAAATATAACATATTTAACTTGAATAGGTAGGAGTATGGGTATCTGGGCAACTGCAGTCCAAAACACACTCCACACCTCAAGAGAATATAGAAGACAGAATGAAAGGATGGTAAGCTATCTGTTGTTGTTAGTCTGTTTTTCTTATGCTGCTTATGAATGTAATGAACTTAGCTGTGGTGTATTTTATCTCTTTCTTCTGTGTCACAGCTTGAGTCACATACTTCCCCTAACTTTTCCTTTTTTTTGGCAAAGACTATTGCAACTGGATCTCCTCCATTAGATAACTGCCTTATAAACTACATCCAAGAGCTCTCTCCCAAGTAAATGTGGCTTACATAATTGCATGTGCCACCCAACAACTATTGAACTTGACATCTGCTATATATATATATATATCTTATAAAGAACTTCAAATGTACTAATTGTCTACAAGGTTTAAAAACACCAGTAGCCAAGAAGAGAAGACCAATTAATGTCTCTTTCGAGGACAAAGCTGTAGTTTGAAGTTCCAGAGAACACTTTAAGTGATAGCATCAGTCAAAAGCCTCAGCTATGAGAAGTTTGTTTCAGTTCATAGCTTCTTCAATTTCAAAGAACCAAACCTCAAAATGAGATTTCATGCTGCTGGCAAAAGAACTAGTTTAAAGCTGTAAAATAAAACTTCAATTACCACAGGCTTTCTTAATACAAATAAAAATGTGCTGATGAGATCCATGCAGCAGACAGCATATGTGGCCATTCAACACAAGCACTCAATTGTTATTTGTGTCAGTATTGGCTACAAACTTGTAACATACAACTCACACAACTTCTGGTACCAAATACCATCTCCAAAAGGGAACAAAACAAAATGAATGCAATTGGCATCTTCTGAACTACTGTAAAAAGCACATAATAAACTGAAGTGTCATCCTATAATTGTAAGCAGATACAAGAGTCTCAGATTTGGAGGCTAGGAAGTCATTTCAATAAGAGTGACTTTTTACCTAAACAAGACAGGTAAAACATCTTCTCTAAAAAATCCACATCTGTCTTACAGAAGTTAAGAGCAGGCTGTAAAGAATTCCTGCCTAACCTAAATCTCCCCCCTTTCTTTCCCTTGTCCTGTCACTGTCAGACCGCGCAAACAGTTGGGTCTCTCCCCTATTTATAATCTCCCTTCAAATACGGGAAGGCTGCAGTGAGGTCTTCTTGGAGCCTTCTGTTCTCCAGGTTGAAGGAGCCCAGTTCCCTCAGCCTGTCTTCACTGCACATCTAGACAGCATCCCTGTATTCTTTGTGTGAGCACCACATCCAAATGGTTTTTAAACACATCCAGGGATGGTGACTCAACCATCTCCCTGTTAAGCCTATTCCAGTGCTTAACAACCCTTTCTGTAAAGTTCTTCCTCATAACCAACCTAAACCTCCCCTGGTGCAACTTGAGGCCAGTTCAAGATCCTGACTGCTCTATGCCAGGCCTATATTCATTGAGATCACAAACTCACTCAGTGTGTGGTCAACTATAGCCCAAATTGCCTTCAATATTAACCTCTTTAAGAATCTCTCCTGCATTGATGAGCAACTGGTCCACTGTCCACTAATGCTTCATCTCTGGTTGGTCTGTTCAGTATCTAGACCAGGAAGTTATAGTTAATGGACTCCAGGAATCTCCTTGATTGCTTTGTAGCTCGCCGTGTTGCTTTCCCAGCAAACATCTAAGAGGCTGAAATCAGCTATCATGATGAGAGCCTGCAAGAACAATGCCTCCTGTATCTAAAGCACAAAGGCCTCATCATTCTTGCAGTAGTCTTCCCAGATTTCTCTGGGACAAATCTGAGGTTCTCCCCTGCTACTTCCCAATAGTGACAGTGCTCATTGGCTCATCCTTCACACGAAGTACATCCCTTTCCTAAATTACAGCAAAGGAATATAGCTTCCTGTTCATCGCTGTGAATTACACACATGCTTTCTTATTTCTTCCTCCTTCCTTTATCTGAGCTCAGCACGAAGCAAAACAAGTTGTATCAAATGGCTTGCTCTCAAAGAACAATCAATTACCTTAAATACTGTCATAAACACCAAAACAATCAACAGGTGCAGTATCCAATCAAATCATATTCATGCAAAAGAGAAACGCTCCTCGCTCCATCTCAGCCCTCCAGTTGTTTGAATAGTGTTCATAAATGAAGAGAAAAGCTAAGGAGGGAAGCTTTTAGAAGAGCTTATACTCAAAAAAAAAATAATAATACAAAGGCAAAAAGACTCAAGCCAACCACTGGAATATTGTATCATACAGCACAACTGTTCTGTAGCTTCAAGTTAATGCTCAAAACGTTAGGGAGGGTGTTTCCAGAGGGGAAAACATATGTAAAGGGAAAAAATCATCACTTTCTCTCCTATCAGAGCTGTTCTGCATAGTTCTAAAATTAAAATACGTTTCTGAAGCAAGTGAAAAAGCAGAATCTAAAGATGAACTTCACTCTGTGACTACAAATCATCTAATATCACCTATAGGAAAAGAACCATCTAACCATAGCCTGAGCTGTCAGCTTGTATTCTAACCATGCTGAAAACAAGTTAAGAAATGGAACATTATGTACAGAAGGTTATTGGCTTTTAAAGAGGGTGGCGGAGAATAATTTAGATTCTCAATGGGAATTATATGCCTAATTGGAAACATAACCAGGAACCTAGTTATCACAAAGAGAAAGCATCACTGCAGGATACAGGACAATCATGTGGCAAAGGTTCACTCCACGCTGCATTTAGCACTGTAATTTAATTCCTATGGGTACTGATGGTGAGATTGCTTTTGAACAAGCTTATGCAACTAAAGCACCCAAGGTAGTTTAATGACTTTGCACCAACACCAGAATGTTTTTCCACACTGGTATCAAATTAAGAACTACTGATTTTTAATAACAAGAAAAAGTGCCACTAAGAGAAAAAAAGCTCTTCTAATAGAAAATATGAAATTATGCTTTAAATCCTTTCTAACCCATCCTCTCCAAAACTAAGCATCTTGCTCACACATCAAATCAATATCTTATGCTCGCAGCAAATACATTAACTAGAATTGTATTCTGCCTAACATGAGTATCAACAACAAATTTGTCTGCCCAGTGCTTGCAAGTACTTTCTGGACAATGGGATCAAAGAAGTCTAACAGATTGAGGAAAACTAGAGAAATTGATAGGGATCACATGATGCGAGAATTATTTTTATAAAAAATGTTTCTGCTGTAGTTGATACTATCATCTATTACACAGGTCACCATCATAAGATCACTGTTTCAAATCAGTGTATCAGAACTCCAGAAAGAAAAGTGACTGTACAGACCAAAGATGTATGAGAAGGCTGAGTTTCCTTAAAAATACTTACACCAAGAGCAGCTTGGTAGGTAACTTCCGATGGGAAGGTAAATGAAGGCCCTGTTGTGACTGGGCTGCTAGGGGGTGGAGTCACAATTAGCCCTGTAGTACCAATATGAACCTGTTGGGAAAAAAAAAGCAAACAAAGAACAACAGAGTCAGTTCTGATTAGCTTTATGGGAACAGTTTTTTACACAGGTGTAAGCTTCATGGTCAAAACCATCAGCATTCTACCACCCAAAATTTTACAACAGAAATATTTTTGGGTTAGATACTCACGAAAAAGGTACTGGATCAAGCTTCTCATTAAAAAAAAATTCTGATACTTCTGAAATGTTAGAGATGCACTGAACTACATATTGAACATTACTATCTCCACTCTCAAAATGCATTCTTTATGTGAAGCAGACAATTGCTCACCAACTGCTGTCACTTGTAAGTAAAGGCTTTGAAGAAGCATGAGATTAACAAATAAATTATGCCAGATAACTACTACTACTTTTCATCACCAGATTAACGTAGTACATTTCTGGAATATATGCAACATTCACACTGAATTTACCTTTTATTTGCATATGCTTTATTGATATCCAGTATTATATTCAATTTAAAAGAAAATGAAGAAATTAAGTCATCACTTCTAAAATTTAAGAGCAGTAAAAAAAAAACAACTCACAAGACCAAAAATATCTGCAATCATTTTTTAAGGACCAATTTAAATATGTTTCTTTAAAATGTAAACTTTGAAGATGAGCTTTGTGACATCATAATATTAACTGCGTATAAGAAATAATTTGGAGTAAACAATGCAAGAAGAAGCCTTTCTAGTTACTTAAAAAATAAAGCATCATTTATACTTAATTTCACGTAAATTACCTGAGAAGGGGCACTACAAGAAAGTCCTGTCAGCTCACTTATGCGTGCTGCTGCAGTTGGGTTGCTAGAGCTGATGAGGACAGGAGGACTAATTTCCATCGAGTGGCGATTTTGAGAAGACTGTGAGGATTTGTTGGACATAGTGAGGGAGGTAAAAGAGTGTCGTTTTTTGGTGTTTTTCTTAGTATCGCTGTGCTTTTGGACTGAATTGTTGAGGGCTGCCCCAGAGGTACCTTCTCCAGAGTCTACAGCAGAACCTGAGGGCTTATCCAATTCTATCAGCTGCTTGGCTGCTGTGTTAAACTACAAAAAAAAAAAACATTCAGACATGAAAAATTAGTATTTGTTTCTTTATAAAGATCACCTACAGACAACCAAATTCTATTTTTGTATTTTACTAATTAATTAATTTTACTATTCATGTTATAGTCAAATTAAAACTATGCAACTCAAAACTCAAAAATGTGCCATACTGACCAACAACTTAGTCGACACAGATTGATGAGGCTTTCACTACAAACTTAGCATGGTTAGAATCAGACTGCTGTGGGCTACCAACAGGAGGTATCATTTCAGCAGAAAGGAAAACATGAACTGGTCCAAAGTTGGATTGATTCAGCAATACTCATGCCTTGTGTAATCTGGAAGTCAGACTAAATCACAACAGCCTCCTCTGACCTTATAATATAAACATCTGTATTATTTAAAAACTTAGTTTCATTTTAAGCCTTTTTTGTTGTTTATGACATCAACCCAAACCTTTGCATGCAGGTTCCTGAAGACACTCCTCCTAGCATCCCTTCCTACTTATGCACTTACATTTAACAGTAGCAATAGTGAAAAACAGGCTTCCTAAACACAAATTTAATTACATAGTAGTACAGATTCAGCAATATCCTTACGCTGCCTGACAACACGTAGCAACAGAACAGGATAAGAGGAAAAGAAACACAAATTGAGAACCTGGTGGAAATATCTTCTCAGCTGTAAAAAAAAATCTGTAGCCTCTGGATTCTCTAAAGCTGAGATAACATATTTGTGTGAAAGCTTAAAATCACTTCTTTTTAAAGTTTATCTCATGGGGTTTTTCCCCCCTCCCCCCCACAAAAGACAGTCCCTATTTGCTGATTTGTTCTAACAAGATGACAGAAAATGCAAACAAATCCTTCCTCTCTGATAACAAAGTATGGAATCCTGTACGCTTTCTTGTTACAATAGATTACTCAGAAAGGGGAAAAAAAATACCTAAATTTCTCACAAAACCTTGATTTCATCTCATTAATATTTTAAAGCTACTATAAATAATAGCATCAGAACTCTCATTTATTCATAAGCTGATATAAACAAGCACCAATCTTTTGAACAAATAAATTAACATTAATACATTCCATTAAATACGAATAGCATTGCTCAGGTAATTCAATCCATTATGAAGAAAGGAAAAAACCTTATCTCAAGAACACCACGATGAGAGAATGAAATTAGCAACTGTGGAAGCACAACCTTTGTTTTTCAACGTATTTTTTTCTATTTATTGTAATCATTTCCTTACAAGTCTTAAGACATCAAACTATGCTCGTATGGAGTTCTGAAGTATCTTGTCCCATCAAAACTTTGCTACACAAGTTACACATTATTCATCATTTTACTTCAACACCCAATGAAGCGTGTCTTACAGAAACATCAGTAGCTTATATTCTGAACACTTTCTGAGCTCTGACAACAAGTAGGTAATATAAAGTGGTAAAATATATACACACACACCATACACACACTGATTTGAACAGAACTTTTTCAAATAGTATTTCAAAGACAAGATCTGGAAGGAAATTACAGGCAGAAGAAATAAACAAGGATCAAAATAGGAATTACTGAACAATGAGGAACTGACACAGAAACCTGTTAGGTCATAAAGGCAGGAAAAATTAAGTTGTTGAAAGGCCTTATTAAGGAAAAAGGACCCACAATACAGTACAGAGGAAGAGGGAAACAAAGGAGGATTTGAAGAAGATGACATGAAGATGACAGCACAGAAATAATTCCTACAAGTCCCTATTATTGGTTCTTTAAAACGAAGCTGAAAAGACAGGGCAGAATAGCAGAGAACAATGTCACAGTAATAAACATTCCTAAAGGAAGTGTAAACACTAGGTTTTCCTCCCACTGGACATGAATCATATAAACAAAATATTTTTATGCCATATACATACATATAATGCCATATACATACAACTAATTTACAAATTCATCATTTGGATTTTTTGGTTAATTTTTTAATTTAGATTGTATATACACTTTCAGTAGATTAGTGAAAACCATTATTTTAAACACAGAACACCAATAGGAGGTTGAAGGATACAAAACAAGACTAAAGACAGACTTTTCTGCTACTTACTGTTCAACCTGGAAGAATAAGCAGGGTTTTCAAAACTAACAGTTTCATATATTTTGTACTGGTAGTCATTTTCTATTCAACTCAAAATTGAGTTCTTCACACTACTTAAGAACCTGTTGTGCATTCCACCTTGTCTTCTAACACTGGCCACAACCAAACATACCCAATCCATTCTCTATCACTCATTTAACTCATTATTTGTTCACAAATTATGTAGATCAGAGAAAGAAAGGCAGTACACATTTCTAAAATAGGAATTATCTAATCAGAAAAGTTAAGGGATCTCTCCTAAGTAAAAAACAAAATAAAAACAAAAATGCCTCACTGCCAGAAGCATCCTGAGGCACCACAGTTATACTTAGTTATGTTTGTTTACCTCCTCAAACTAAAAATGCCTACAGAATCCAGTTATTATATAAAGCAAACAACATATTAGAGAAAAGTTAAAGCCTGCTCATGGGAATGATTCAAATATGAGCAATATACTGAGCTTTCTTAAAGACAGAAACAAGCACAGGACGGTAACGTGCAACCTAACAATGGCTGTGAATGGATGGCTGGCCTTTCCAAAGAAACAACCTGAGGACAGCAGTATTGCACAGTATTTTGCAGGTTTTCCTGAGGAGAAACATTTAAATTGAAACTTATTTAACTTTCACATTCACATAATTTTTTTTTTTTTTTAAATTAATAAAATCTTCGTTGTATCAGGTCACCTGAAAGACAATTCCCCCCCTTCACCAAACCCCAGGAAATAGAACATCTCCCCAGATGGTAACAGCACAGTCAGCTGGCTTTGAAGCAGCTCAGTGGGCCTGCAGGGCTCTGGGCTTCCATCTCCTTGCAGCTGTCTGGAGAAACGATCAAGCAGACCACCACAAATGCCTACCGCCAGCCTTCTGCTTATGCTTTACTGCACTTATTTATTCTGGCCTTTTACATTCACATATAGATAGACAGAATTCAAATATTATCTCTTTCTGAAATTAAGTCAAAACACTACCTGCTCTCTCAGTTTTTCCTCATTATTTTTCATCCAGAATTTTTACTTACAAAACTTTACTCCATTATCGTGCATGAAAAAGCTGTTTTCCTCCCATCACCAACACTATTATTAGTCAAACACAAATTCCTAGGCTGCATTTCACTTTCACCAATATATTTTCAAACAAAGTGTAAGTGCAACTAGAGGCAAATATTGTCCTTAATTGACATTATTACTTTTGCTAAACATCCCCCTGGAAGACAGGTAATAGCTTAGAAATCTAGATTCAGGTTTGTAATTAAGGTTTCAGAATATATTCTGTTCAAACCAGCAGAAGAATCATTTTAGAAAACTTGAACAGCTGACAGTCAGAAGCAGAGCTGCGTTTATATGAATTACTGAAATTAACTCTGTAGTTCTGTATTGCAGTTTCTGTAGGGAAAACTGATCAAAATTATGACACTTAGCAATTATTATTGGAATGACAACACTGAGGTTACTACATTCAAATAAAATGTGAATTAGACTATCATCTTCTACTAAAACCTAACCATCTCTGGTTTCAAGCATAATATACAATATTTCCTTTCTGCATAGATTTTCTGTTCTGGTCAGTCAAAACAGTCAAAAAGAATTCTTCTGAGTCGGTATTGCTACAGAAGTGTTTCCATTACATCACATCATCTAACAGAAATAGACAGAAAGTTGAGTCTAGTAGTGTGATGTTTAAAAAAATATGTTTAGAAATCCAGTCTAAAAATCCAGTCTGAAGTGCAGAGACGCATTAAAAAATGATGTGAAACATTCTTGTTCAGTACTGGAAAAGATGCTATTAAAAAAAAACAACAACCAACCAACCCTGACACAGCAGGTACATAAAACCTTATTTTACCATTTTTGAAAATGTTGCATTGGTTGATGGATGCAACAGCTTAAAATGATCTACACACAATGAGCATTCAAGATATGGATAACAATACTTCACTGTATTTCTGAAAGACTGCTTATAAATAAAACTAGAGGAGATTAATGAAGAGATGTTTTCCTGTTGTTCACATTAACTTGGGAAAACAAGAGCTGTCATTATTTTCTATTGACATTTTGATTGAGTAGTGATTTATTTTCCAGTCCTTTTTGTTTGTTTGTTTGTTTAAGATTTCTTGCAATAATATAAATAGCTTTTAGATTCTGAGCCTGTTTAGTAAATGTTAATCCATATCAAAGTATCAAATTTGATGTTCTAATTAATTTGTATTCTACTCAGGATTGTATCTACTTTTAAAGCAAATATGTTGAAATTCCATCAGTTGAAAGTTTAGCAATTTAGATAATATTAGCTAGGATTCACTCTAATACAGCTACAGGGCTTTTTCTAGTATTTTGTTTCAGCATTTCTCCTTCTCAGACATTCTTTTTTTGTAATGTTTTGCATAATTTATTTTACACTTGGAGAGAGAAGTGATTGTCTCACAATGCCACGTGTCTACAAATAAAGACAATGTTTTGTGAGTCAGTTAGCAAATTACTCTCTTAATGCAATCACTATTAAAATACCTTTCAAAACGTCGTCAGTCTTAGCTTTTATTATTATCACAGACTTAATACGTTTGATTTATATAAATGAATAAAGCAGATAGGCAACCATTAAATTGGGGATATTCCTCCAGGTAATAAGCTGACCACAAACACAGTCAGTGACAACTCAAGTCAATGACAACTCACCTCAACGTATGAGATTGGAAATATTCCTATCTTGTCAGCCAGCATTCCTTCTGCCCAGTTTTCATCCACTCGGCGAATTACAGTCAGAACATCATCCTGTGGGAACATGCAGTGATTACACCTCCCAAATCTAAATCTAATTAAGCTTCTAATTAAATCTCCCTCCATAAAGCACAGGTAATCAGAGAAGGTGCTACATGTGCAAGAACCTCACAGAAAGCATTCTGTAATACAAGCATGCCATTCTTGGGACTGAAGTCAGTTCCAGGTGTTCCTTTTCCTATTTTGCTGGAGATAAACCGTTCACAGCCAACCTCAGTTGTCTAGTTTGTCTTGAGCACGATACAAAAACTGCATCACATGCATATTAAACACTGCTATACTGAGATTCGTATTTATTTTGTACGTAAGTTAAAGCACATGGAAACACATAAGATACCAATTCAAGCATGAGTATAGATCAAAAAAATGCAGTTTGCCAACAATTTAACCAAAATATGCAAGCTAATGACAATTACCCTCAACATTAAGTTCTGCGTAGTAAAAACCACAGCCTGACCACATGTACTTTTGCTAATTTCACAAAAAGAGATAAAACCATTTGCTTTTAGAATTATAGCCATCCTTTCCATTTTCAGTAGGCAAGGATGAAAATGCAATTAGCTCACATTTGATCCTGAAACATTTTTGTGCAACCTGATAAAGAATCAGAAACAAAGAACCGAACAGCTCTGATTTCTCTTAAAACGTAGCCTTAAAAGAGATGGACAATTACAACAAAAACAATTTAAGAATGTCACATCTTCCAAAAGGCAATCAGTGATATTACAGAATGACAAAGATCAGACCTGCTTTGTATTTAGTACCTAGAGCCTAAAAATCATACAAAACTTATAGCTGAAAATTAATATCAAGAGTTTCTTTAGAAGATGGAACACTTAATTCATAACAGAGGTTATTTCTTGGAGATTAAGAATGCAACTCCTGCAATTATGGAAAGTTCCATCCACAAAAATAAAACCTTAGAGAAATTGTATGCAACTCAGGAAGAAAAGGAAGGCAAAACTCATCTACATAAGAAAAAAAAAAATACCCACAGAATTATCTGCCCTTTTCATATTTGTATAGATCCATTAAAAATGTAGACAAGACTACATACATTTTATCATTTTTTTTCGAAGTGAATGAAATTATTCAAAGAGAATATTTATTTTATTCATATTTTACCTTTGCAAATGGCAAACAGTCCTTATCTGCTTCCTTGTCTTTTACTTCAAAGTCATAAAGTGCTTTGCACTGAGGCGGAGGTTGAGGTAAAGGTTTAATAATCTGAACGAAGTTGGTAGGAAAAAAGCCATGGATGCCATTGACTTCTCCATGATACCAATTTTCATCCACCTGTCGACGCAAAATGATGATGTCTCCTTTACTGAACTTAAGATCTCCAGGTTCTTTTCCCTCATAGTTGTACAATGCTTTGGCACATGGTAACTGAGGTACACCCTAGAGAAGAAGAAAAAGAAAAGACCGGTAGAATTAGTTAAGTATCACTAAATAGAATTTATATTACGTTCTCTGGGGGACAATGAATGAAAGTAAACAAAGAAAACTGAAAAGTAAAATTATACATAATAGAAGACCACTAGTTCTTTTTTATCAGTTCAATATAAAAATAAAAGGGTGGGGGAGGGGAAGGAGCACTTTTGGAAACTATTCTGACCACTTGAGAGAGATGACAAAAAAATTCTGCAAGAAAATACAGCATTAGAATAACAAATCTGCTATGAGACCTTTGAGGCATGTTTTCTGCCTGTCTGGCTTGCTTATTAATGATGAGGATGAGGACATAAGGGAGGTGTTTTCCAGCCTGAAAAACAAATCTCACTTTATTAAAGATGAGAGCTTTCATCCTGAACGACCGCTTTTATTTATTTCTCAAACAGCTGAAAAGAACTACTGAAAAGATCAGTTTAAAGTGGCTATCCTTGGCTTTTCTTCCAATTCCTCCATAATATCTGAAAATTGTAGGTAACTAGTGCTGCTCTTGAACGCAGGTGAAAATTACAAAACATTACTGTAATCCCTCCTTACAGAGCAAACCATAAAACTCTAGTATTAGAGCTACTTCTTTCAAAACTCTCTTCTCTCTTTAATTATGAATGTTCAGAAGAGGGTGCAACCTTTTGCTAATGTAAGCAGCAGTAACTTGCATTACCAAGACAGCTTTTCCATGCAAAAGATAGTATTTATGGTCAACTACAGCACAATATTTTTTTTTTCTTTATGGAGTTGTATCGAAGATCTAACAGAAAAGACAAATTGTAATGAAATTCAGTGCTGGCAATATTACTCAGAAAGGTCTACACCGTGGTATGTCTCTCCTCTACCAGCACAGGGCATGTGCAATTGCAGTTTGCAATCTATCTCAAGAGGCACACAATGCAAGGAAACTCTCAGAAGGAATTATCACTCAGAGTCTGTGTAATTAGACAGAGTAGTTGATAATTTATTTTATATTTACCACTTGAAATTTTATCTTTCAATGGAATCCAGTTTCCTTGGACTCTCTCAAATTCTGTGCACGACTTTATAATTGCAGTGATGATGTTATTTTAAAGGTATTATTTATTTGTAAA